GTTGAAGAGATTTCTCTCACTTTTCTTTTGTTTGTGTTTCCGCTCCAGTAACTGAAATTGCAAGCACAAAATAAACAATTGTCCGGTGCTCTATCTGGCGATAATGTTTCAATAAAACCCAAATTTTTGAATTAGTTATTTCTTTCTTTAATGAGGATGGATATATGTTTTTTTGTTGCCACCGTGATATTTTGCTTCGAAAGTATGAACCTTAGCCATGACAAATCCCCACACTTGGGCGGCCCCAACCCAGTATAGTAAAGCACAACCTAACAAGTGCGCGGGGACTGGGGTAATGTGTACGCTCTGAATAGTCCACTTCCGAGTTCAAAAACCCTCACTTTCAAAATGAGGCCAAGTGCACAATCTTTCTTGTGAAAATTGTTTTATTTGCATGAGAGTGAAAAATCATTCCCATATCAAAGACTGAGTACTTAACCTCGCTTTGATGCAGAGGCCCGGGGGAACTTGGAAATGGGGTTATTGACTTTCTTGGCCCTTCTGAAGAGAATAGATGGTTTTCAATGTGACGTCATCAAATTGTAAAGTCAAAATGGCAAGGTTTTACGAATTCTTATTTACACTAGGTTGAAGATAAACAAAAAATAAATCTTTGTACAAGTTTCCAGTCCTGTGGCATGTTTCATTTCGAAAATACAGCAATTTGAACTTCCGAGTTTTCACAGTGCGTGACATCAAAATAGGAATGCTGTCTCGTTGAAAAAAAAGTCTGTCCTCTTGATTTTCAGCAGTATAACCATTTCAAGTATTAGAAGGTATGTTTATGGGCACGTATGCTAGTTCTCGAGTGAAAAGAAAGAACTTTTATAGAAAAAGTGAACTCCAGAATATTTTGTTGATTTCCCGCGGCCATATTGGTGCACCAAAACGGTGCACCAATATGGCGTCTCCATACAAAGCTCTCCAAAGGTGCGTGAAATGTTTCGGCAAATAATTCAGAAACTGTGGGCCACAAAGACCTTAGACTTGGACAAATTGTTTATATAATAGCCTTTTACAACATTTCATTTTCTTGGCTTCTTCCAGTGGACGGTTTCCAATTTATTTTTTTGTTGCGTGACAGTGAAAACGATCTGTAGTTGTAGGCTTGTCCCCTGATTTAACGACTCCTCTATAACTGTTTTAACTCGTGGGCTGCACATTTCACACCTCTTTTTTTGTCCAACGTTCGATGGTCTGTACACTCTTTGCAGGCGACAAGAGGAGCCCGTAATCCTAATCTCCAGGGGGTTTATTCTTAAAAATTCTTGCAAATTTCAGCCTCCATATTCTAATAAAATATATATTCTTATAAAAATATAATGTTCTCATAAAAAAGAGTGAATCTAGCTAGGCCCCATTTCCCCTTTCCCAGTTCCATGACGTGTAGGGGAAAGTGCTTATCGCTTGGGTACTAGATTCTACAACAAACGTAGGAACGAGGCGATTAAAAATCGCAGGCGCAAATTTCTAGTCAGCGTCATGCCTGAGTATGCGTACGTTATAGTTTGGCAATCGTGGAAGTAATGGCGACGGAGTCAAACACGAATGAAATCGCCGATTTTGATATAGATCAAGTTATAGATTGGGACCAGCACGATATTCCTACAAAGGTCTGTTGGGTGAACTGTTAAGTAACTTTTCCACAAGAAAAGCGAACGATTTCCCTGAAAATAAATCGGTTAAGAGTCGACCAAAGTTGAACACCCTCGCTTATACCGGGGGAAGCGTTATTTCAAGTCACTGTCCAAGGAATCCCGTGAAGTTGCCTCAGACATAACCTTATTAAAACAGGTCTTTGCAGACCTGTTTTCGAATAACGCGACCGTTGGGGCAGCCCCGCTGCTGCTGGCGTGATTGAAATAGTCTCAAACTTGCTTTAAAGCTTAATTCAAAAATCGTGGAGGAGTTCTACATACCTCAAATTACGAACGGGAAGTATACAGGCTTTCCCGGAAAATTTGCTTCTATCGCCCACTATATAAAAACTATAATTCGAGTTGAGGACAATGCCAGAATATTTTATCCTTTCTCGATCAAGAATTTCTTGTCGAAGTATTTACACGACGCTTTAGGGGAAGTTGAAGTCAAGGAACATATCGGAATTTGTAGGGAGTTTCGCTTAAAATATTCTAAGCCTGACTTATGTCGCGGAAAGACAGCTGACTAAGCTTAACTCTCATATTGTAATACAACATAACGTTGACAGGTCTGATATCTTCGAGTACGTATTGCACGGCCAGGAATTACCTGAATTATAAATTATTTTTATACATCCTCATACTGCCTTCTAAATGCCTGATAAAAACAGTTCCTTCAGTTTCGGTCCTACAAATTAAAGTTGCAAGGCTTAATAACTTTTTTTATGCCACTTAACACGTTGCACATTTTCGTCTTTTAAGATATTTTATTTTGAAACAATTTCTTTCTGTGAAGCCATTGTCATGACTGGCACTTCTTAGAAGGTTCAAGGCTCAACTTTTTTAACGTTTAAGTGCAATTTTCTTCTAATCTGCATGTCTGCCCTATCATGTTTTACAGGGATTGCACTTTACTTTAGCACAAAAGTTGTAACATCTCTTACTTGAGTTGGGACCACCATTTAATGAGGTCATCTTAGACACTCTAAGGTGTAGCAATTTGCAGAGCAAAGACAGCACTTTCATTTGTGAGTTATTTTAAAACCCTTCTTATTGCTTTGGCCCCAGGGGGAGCAATACTGTAAAGCGATCAGTGATCTGTAAAATGGTGGTTTGTTGCTTATTTTCTGAATGTCCTCTTAATTAGGACATAGAGTTTGACCAGCTTCAGGGTCTAGAAGTGCAAGTGAGCAATGTTGGATCATCAACATCACAAGCGTCATCAACTAACTCCCTAAACAATAGTGGCAGAGATGGTCTGGTTATTGGGAGTCAACTACTGGCTCCTCATAGGGAGACTGGGGCAGCTATTGCCAGCTTGCCGCAGGTATGTCTCTGTACACATTTTACTGAGTAACATACAAACTTCTCACTGCTTCATAATAATTAATGTTATTGTATTTGTAGAAATGTAAATTGATACAGTCGACTCTCTCTTAATGGACACCTCTATAAAACGGACACCTCTGTGAAATGGACACCTAGAGTTGGTCCCTGCCTTTGCTTATTCCCTTTATTTGACTCTTTATAAGATGGACACCTCTCTAAGACGGACACTTAGTGCCGGTCCCAAAGGTGTCCGTCTTGGAGAGAGTTGACTGTATTACTATTTTCAACCTGTACCTTTTTATTCAAAGTCCTAGATTAGATTACATAATACATAAACAATGGGAATTAAAGTGTATTACAGTAAATGTAATTAAAATATACAAAAGCTACAAGATAATAAGAAAGATACATGTACATTATTTGATAAACCATTCAGTTAAAAATGAATGAAAAACAACAATAAAAAACCCTCTGTACTTTGCCTAAGTATTAGTGAATTTAGCCTAAATTACTAAATAAGGACACAGTTTTAATGTCTTATGCTGGACAAAGGTGTTGCATTTCTACATGGCCATCCAAGCCCTGCAAACATGTAGCCATTTGTTGAGCAAAGGCAGCACCTTTATTTCTTACTGCTGCAATGGCAACTGTTTCTACAGGTCACCCTACAGGTCAAGGAAAGTTTATTTTAATTTTTTTTTGACAAACATTTTCTACTCTTCATAATAAAGCCCTGGAGAACCAGGCTGCTGTTATTAATTACCCAATGTTAAAATGTATGAACTCTTTCAATTGTCTTGACAACTACTGAAGTTGCTTGACCTTGGAAGAATATTTTTCCACTAAATGTACTTTTTTTACCCTTTTTGCAAGGTGCCACAGTCATCAGCCATAAATCCTGTGTTCCCAGGAGACCCCAACTCTCTAATACGAGATATACGACAGGAGTATCTTCAGAATCTTGCTGCACGATCTAGGACACCACCAACTCCAACCTTTCCATCTGAAAACTTTGATTTGCCCCCGATCACTCCACCTGGATCAATGCAGGGTCATTCAACATTTCCCGTGGGACAACAGCGTGTGAGGATGCCAATAATGTCAAACCTTAATAGACCTACAACTGTACATTCTCAGCTGTCACCATTTGTACCACCCAACTTACCCCCTGTAATGAGTCAGCAACTATCATCTGAAGTGAGTAGTCCAATGGTGGAAGGCCCCAATATCGACGAACTAATTGATGAAATTGTGGAGCGTGATATGCCACAAGGTGTCAGTGAACCCATTGTATTTGCAACTCATGTTTCACAGCAGCCCAGTCCTTCTACAACTCATTCACTTTTTGTACCAAGTGCTTTACAGAAGGGGCTTACAGCAACTTCAGTTCAAGCAGCAAGCCCAGGGCAGTTAGCTGCTGCGCCAAGTAATGTTACCTGTAAAACGCAGTTGCCTATGACAGGTGTAACTGGGGGAAGTCCATTGAATGCTGCTGGAAGTCCAGGAAGTCCTTTGGCATCATCAAGAAGTCCAAGTCCCAAAGTAAAACAAGGAAACCATGCAGGGAAGGTATCTGCTCCAATACGAGCTGCAAATCAAGGTATGAGACATGCCCAATCCATAATTCAGCCTGGATCTCCACTGCAGACTACTGCTCCACAGTCAGTAGTAAAAAGTACAAGGTCGTTTGTATCAACAAATTCTCAGCTTCTGAGTACTACCTCACAAATGTTACAAATGGCAGTCCCATCTGCTGTGGCAGCATCTTCTAAGGCCCAAGGTGGATCTTGTCAGCCCCGTACTGCTAGCAGCTTGAAAATAAGTATGGAATCAGCAAATCCTCAGGGTCAAACAGTTACTTTGTCCGCACCTGTGACTCAGTCAAGTTCTCAGATCCAAACACACATCATTACTGCTGCTGCTTCTAATAAGATGCCTTCACAGAATGTTGCACAAGGTCCTAATATTAGTGCAACTAGGCTTCAGTCCAGTAACAAACCTATTCAGGCCATTCCTTTGTCCAACCCAGAATTGTTGGGACAGCTTGTAAAGGCCATGGGGCAGCCAAAGGCAAAACAGCAGGGAACAACACCTAACATTCATACTGGACAACCACTCATCTGCTATGTTGTTCCTCAAAGCCCAGCATCCGGAGTTCAAAGTTCACAGGCCAAATCATCATCTCAGCCAGTTAAGATGATTCTGGTGAATCCTAATTCTCCCTTAAAATCCCCAGTTTCATTAAAACCCCAACTGCCTAAAACTGTCATTACCAACCCTTCCAGTGCCAGCTTGAATTGTAAAGCTTCGGTGGTATCTGGTTCATCTCAGCTAGCCCAGACAACATACAAAACTGCATTGGAAACAGCTGTATTAGGTCCAGCCTTTAAGGAACTACCCTTATTGGCTGAAACAGGTAATATGACATTAACAGAGGTTAAAAGTGGCAGTATTATAGATGGAAACAATTCCACACGTTCTGTACAACTGAATACAGCTGTAGATAATAATCAAGTACCAACTTCTGTGCCAGGACAACAACAACCATTTGAAGGAATCTTTGCCACTAATTCAAATACTAAACAGATTTCAACTGCTTTGGGATCCACACAGTCTAATAGTGTACCTTTATTACAAACTCCTTTGTCATCTGGTAGCAATGTTGTTCAAATAACTTTTGTCAATGAAGCAACAGCAATCAGTCAAGTAGTAGCTGCTTCTCCTGCAGCTACAGTAACGGCATCATCATCTGGTGGTAGCCTGCAGGGCATGGTTACAGCTTCACAGCCATTAACAGTGGCACCTGGATTACAATCCTCATCACACACTCCACTGATAAGACCTTCATTAGAGCCAGCTTCAACCCATCAACAAGACAGTGATGATGATGACGATGATGACGATAGTACTCCTTTATCCCAAGTGGCTGAAAACCTAAAGAAAGTGGGTGGTGATGAGGTGAAGAAAAAGAAGAAGAAAAAGAAAGACAAAGAGAAAGGAAGTAAACGAAAGAGAAAGGGGAAAGAAAAGGACACTCAAGGCGGAAACAAGTTAGTGCAATAAATATCATAGTTTTAGAGACTTTATCTGAATTTTGGTAATGTCTCGAGCTATGGGTGATTAACTGATATCATTCTAGTACCTGTGCCTAGCCTTGAACATTATTTTTTAGTTCTCTTAAAGGTGTTTTGCAGGTCTGTTACTATATTTCTACCTTAGATTGATTTTGTTGTCCTAAATTTTAGTTGTTGTGTTTTTCTTTATTTTATTTTATTTTAGGCCTTTAACTGCTTATGAGTTGTTCTTCAAGGAAACCCAGGCAGCTGTAAGAACAAAAAACCCTCAGGTAAGATGGAATCAGAAACAATGCTATAAGCTGTGCAGTTACAACCTGCATTAATATTTTGGTATGTTCAAATGACTGATTTGAACATTTCAAGTTCATTTAAATCTGCTTATACTAATTTAGAAAATCTTATACTGGTTTTTTGTTAAATAATTGACCTGGCAACACAAGGGAATAAAAATCTGTAGATTATAAAAAATGTGGCCTAAAAACCTGAGATGAGTAATGTGATTTAACTGAAGATATGATCATCCCTGTGGTAATTGCAATTTAAGCAATATTATTGCAAGTTAACCTGAAAATATTTGAGACTTCAACGGAATTTGAACCCATGGGTTAACTTGCAATTGCTTAAATTGAAATTACCACTGCGATGATCATAGCTTCATTTAAGTTTGGATTTCCGCAGTTCACATCATCTTCATTCAAATTAAAGTAATGTGATGTTCCTTGTCTTTGACTTGCTCACAGCTTATTATTACTTTGGCGGAGGGAAAAGTAAAGGATTCGCGACGCTCAGGAATGTATCAAAGTTGATATTTTTGGGCCAAGATTGGGCACGCAAAGTCTGTAGGTTTTCAGTTTTATTCGGCTATTTGACGAAGTGAGAGCCCAATTAGTTCGCAATATCTCAAGATCACTTCAATTTCTTTGATTTATTTTTTAACTTATTCGAGGAAGAAAGAATTATCATTTTGGCTCCCTGGGGTTTGAACCAACTCACCTGTGTGACCCGTCAGATCAGAGGAGACTCTAAGTTGAGGGATTAGCCGATTACATTACTGCGACCCAAGGTAGTTCGGGATTTGAAAAATAGCTATGAAATTATGCACTACTTTTGGGACAAGACTGGCCGCACAAGTGCATGACTTTTCGGCTTTTTTCGGCTATTTCATGAAATGAGACGAGACTGCTTCATGATATCTTGAGATCACTTCGAGTTTAGTCTTTAATTTACTCGAGGAATAAATAGAGGATATTACATGCCTGCGCAGAGACACGAAATTTGTCCTCGAGTGTTGAAAAACATTTCACGAGTGAGCGCTCCTTTGGAACTGTTTTTTGATGAATTTAAAGATACAAAATGCTGCACAAAGACATTTTGTCTTTTTTGAGTGTTACGTTGTAAAATTGCTTTTTTGCATTACGTGACTTTCTCGAATGTTCTCTACGTTTTTGGATTATTCGTGAATAATTAATTAGAGCATGTTTACATTTGAGTATGAGTCAGCAGATTTGCATCAGTTACTGAAATCATAAAATATGTTGAAAAGCTACTACTATTCGCCTGTTTAGTCTTTTCTAGAACCTTATGTCAAACGGTATACAAGTTCCAAGCGAGTTCTTTTGACAAACTAAGTTTTTTCCCACCAGCTGGAGTGCTATGTTTAGTCAAGTGTGACGAAGGTTGATTTTCAAGTTCTGTGTTTACAAGTTGGCGGAAGCCGTAAGATATCTGAAGTTCAAGTGAGAGTTTGTTATTATTGGCAGAGGCTGTTTGGTTTTACTTAAGTTCAAGTCAAGTTTGTGTTGGCGGATGCTGTGTAAAGACTACGTTCCTTTGGTGTTTTAAAACTTCCTTGTGTTAATCCGACATCCCTGCGTGCTGATAGTCCTTGAATAATTATCCTCAAAACATTCGAACCCGTAACATTGAGTTTTAGCCAATTCCATGCTCAATGTAATTTGCTCCTTACCAATGCCTTAAATATCTTTAATCAGTACATGAGACTGCTATGCTGTTTTTGAAGCCTGGTGTAAGAAAAATAGAGAATTCTTTTTTCACTGTTTGTTTGGTTAGACTTGTTATTCACCACCAGTAACCTCACATTTGACTCAGGTCTAAATGTTTTGACCCAAGTCAAATTTAGAAGGATTTGTATGGAGTCATCAGAGCATAACTGGGCTAATATCTGAGAGACAATTTGCCCCAAAATGCTAGTTTTTGGCAAATAGGCCTCTTGGATGTTGCTCGTTTCAGAATATCCTGACAAATCCCATAATTTCACAAATTAAAACCTTACTCTTACCATATTTCACTTCTCACTATTTCTCCGCATTGACAATTAATCAGTTCCACAACCACGACGCCAAAGTGTACACTCCATAGCGTCTTGTTTTGTTTTTGAATTAGCCAATCAGAGGGAGACTGGTGCTGACCTCCACAGAAGTCAGTACCAGTTAAGTTGTTGTTGCCCTTGTTGTTGTTGTTTTTATCTCAGTGGGGAAATTAGGGTCTTAATCAAGACCAGGAGGCTCCTGGCAGGACTAAGGAACTTGGTAGGACTGTGGTAACAATAAAAGAAATAATAGCCTTTCTCTGATGAAATTGAAATTATCACAATCATCGTCTTACAACTCTCATCGAGAGCAAGATATTCTATCCAGTTTTTGTCAAAACTATATGCCCAAGTTTGTCCAAGGCAATGTTGGTGTCTCTGGTTAAGCATTAGAGTGGTTTTCGTTTGAGTGTCGTAAAACCAAAACCAAAGTAATTACTCTGGCCAATCACATAGGACACAGACAATACATTGAACCAATCAAAACTCGAAGTAATTACATGTGGCTGACGCAAAGCGCGGGAAAATGCATGCGAGCGTGTCACAATTGGCTTTGGTTTTACTTCTGATTGGATGAAAAGGTGGCGCGAATCTTTTAAGCCAATCGCATCCTGTAGAAAGTGCAAAACCAATTACTTTTCGACACTCAAATGAAAACCGCTCTATAATATACATGTAAGTTTTAGTTGTCCATTGCCCCTGTTTGGGCATGGTATTCCTAAAGAATTATGTCTGACATAGGCTGCGGCCGCACTTGGTGACTTAACCAAGTTATTTCCAATTAACTAATTAAAGTTAATTCGTTTAAAAAAACTGTGATTGCATCCGGGTTTTCTACAGTCTCAACCAAGTTCTAACTGGGTTATGCAAATCAAGCAAGAACAAAAGATTTTCTTAACCTGGTTAGGTTTTCTGAAACCACCTTCCAAGGAAGTTTAACACAGGTTAACTGTATCAATTAGTTGATCATCTCCGCCTACTCCTGACAATGGTCCAAATTTTGGCTTTACCATCAGAGATTCCAACCCTTTCATTTTGGCCAGAAACCTCCCATTTTTGACAAATATTTCTAGCCTTTGTTTTCGCTTAATACTCCCCCGGTTTTTGAAACTCTTCCTAGCCAAAGAAAGATAATGTTTTTGTTGTTTAACCAGTCTTTTTAGCATGATTCTTTGCCATTTTTCTGTGGTTTCTCAGCCATTTTTACCCTTTTGGCATCCAAGCATGAGCCTGCCATAATTTTGGGTGGAGTAATGCACTGATGTAATAGGGACCAATAGGCCCTAGCAACCACTGCCTGTTAAAAACTCCACTCTTTTCCACTGACTGTGATCTCAAAATGCAGGAAATGGCATCTTAGAGGCACATATCTTAAAATTTTTGTTTTTGGCGCTCGTGGACACGGCTATGCTGCTCCACAAGCCTCCCTTTTTGCAGTTGACAGTTTTGGAATGTCTGTACCATGCACGCGAGCACAACAGTTTCAAAGTCAATTCTTTCGCTCCAAGTTCAGCTTTTCTTTCTTAACACAATTAGGTTAAAACTTTTAAGAAGTCAACCTCTTTTTATCATTAATACGGGGTCAAATCTTATGCGAGCATTATGAGCAAACCAAGCGAGCAAGAAAAAAAGCGTGTGACATTGAATGACTTTGTGGAAGTCTAAATTGAGTCCGGCTACTGATAAAAATTAACCTGGTTAAACTCTTTTAACCAGGTTACATTCTGAAGATGTTTTTACCAGGTTATTCAAAAACTAACCCGGTTAACTTACCAGGTGTGGCCGCAGCCATAATCTGCACTTCATGGTGTTCTTTGTTGTCGCATTTTTCAAGTTAGTGATCCGTTTTCCATAGGCACAGTTTGAGGACATCAAGAAAATTGTGGATCAGATGTGGGATACTTTAAATGAAAATCACAAAAAGGTGGGATCACCTTTACTGGTATGTGGAATTTGTCAGCAAAATAATAGGAAACCAAGCAGGCTTTTTTCTCAAGTTTTAATTGCATAAAAGAGGTCAACTCTATCCTTTACCAGAATGGTGTACTTGCATGGATTAAGATTTTTTGCCATCCATGCATTAACTAGATTGTTAGTTTATTTTGTAGTTCAAAGTAATAAGAAGCATTTTTGTCTTTGATCTTGACTCATCATGCAGATTTTGAAGCTGATTGGCTTGTGGAGTTGATTATTAGAAGCATTGTGGCTGTAATGTCTGGTGAATTTTGGTTCTCACTTATGTCTAGACAAAGTGGGGATCAATATTAGTCATGCTTGCTTTAGCTGCAAGACTCAGGTGCAAGCATTTCTTTTCTTTTTTTTTTCTTGTGTACATGCCAAAATGGGGGCCTAGTCGTAAGCTATCCTAGCGGAGACCGTGGACACTGAAGATAAGAATCGTGACGTGTCACAGCGCCATGCTTAAATTTCTTTTGTGAAGAAAGCTTAGCAAAGATTAATGTGAAAGATGTTGAGCTTTTCTGGAATGGGTCGGGCCATGAATTCTATTGCTTGAAAGCATTAATTACTAATTTGGAGCAAGTGAATACTTCAGTGAAAATTTTGATGGTGAGGCTATAAACTGGTCGAGCATTGTAAACTTTCATTGTATGCAAATGAGTCTTGTGATGAGCATGTGGTTTATTTTCAGTAATGACTGAAATGACGCACCATGTTCATCACGTGTAAGGTCACTGGCAATGATGTAATTTCTCTCGAATTGATTTTCACTTATTTATACAGTCGTTCTCAATTGTCAAATACAATATAAAAAGTAAATATCCTGAAGAATAATAGACTCTAAATAAAGTAGGGAGTGAAAAACGTTTAGCGAGGAAATCCCATTTCATGTAGAATATATTTCCCCCCCCCTATTTCATATTTACCAGTGATCTCCAAGCAAGCGAGACTGAATGCTTTTTAACAGCATTCATTTTTGAAAAAAAAAGGACAACCCTGTTCGTTTGTAAAGGGTAAATTAACAATGTGGTTTCTTTTTTATCAGGGTTATCAAGAGAAGGCTCGACAACTGGAAAATCAATTCCAAGCTAAGAGGCTGACACAGCAGGTACAGTGCCAAACAGTCTACTAATTAATACGTCATTAATTACTTTAAATAATACAGTGATAATCATTATTATGAAGGAAACAATCTAGACAAGAAAATGTTAAATGTCTCTGTTAACCAATCCTAGCTGAACGCTTGCAAACTTTTCATATACCACCCTAGAACTTGTTGACTTACTTTATTCGCTCTTTTTTTTTCATTTACTTAACATGATAGTGACTCTCAAGCCAATTCAGTCAAGACAATGTCTAGCAAAACCTGGGTTTTAAGCAATATTATTTGAGTCTTGCTTTATCACTGATTAATTTTGAATCTATATTATCATTGAGACTGTCAAGAATTCATTAATATAGTAAAGGGTATATTAAAAATCATATATTTTAGGTAATGTTATCTCAGAATGTTATGTATTGGGCAGTATAATAATTATTGGTACAATGGCAAATGCTTCTTTCAGGATGAACCAACTCTAAAACTGAAGAAAGTGGAAGTAGCAGTAGACCATGTGACTTCCCTTCCAGAATCAAGTACTGCAGCAGCTACACCCAGATCAGTGGAGGTTATTAGTGATACGGTGGCTGTGACTAATAGTAAACCATTAAGCCGCACCCCAACACAAGTAGCTATGGCTGGTAAACCAGTGGCAACTGTACCACCCATGGCAGCTGCCAAAACAACAATAAACACAAACACTCAACCAAACATTTCAGCAAAACCTAAGGTGAGTGCTGACTGATAAACTTAAGTGCCTTATCCGGTGCTATTTTAACTCTTGAATGCATGTTGTGTAGGAGGAGGTGTTTATATAATTATGTCACTGGTCATTCAGTAAGGTGTAGACACTTTTGTTGTAGATATTATTACTTGGCTCTGAACATGAGTGCTGATATCAAAACAACAATAATGTTATTATTTTACTGTTGTTGTAGATCGATAATTTGTTCCCAAAGAGTTGTGTTAAAAAAATGTAAACTTTATGACAACCAACAACATCCTCATTTTCCAACAAAAACCATGTGCTTGCAAAACTATTCATCCCATCGGTCACATTCATCTCTGTAGCAACTAATTTTCATGAACCTGGATAACACTTCTTAAATTTTAATTTTCAACTTGTCGTTTATTTTTCACCTCTTCTTGAAAATGATATTAGGATTATTATTAGCACTATTGATATCATCAGTATTAATCTGTTCCATTTCTTTTACTGTGATATTTTTTTACTTCATATCTTTCAGTTAATTTAGTCAATTTAGAGGTGAAGGTCATTGTAATTAGTGAATACACTGCAAGTGAAGTCATTTAATTTATTTTTTACTTCTTTAGTGTACTTTTTTATTGATGTTCTCAAGCTCATAGTACCATAATAATGTAATAAAGAAATAGTACCATAATAACATAAAATTAATATAAAGAAAACATTTCTTTACAGAAGAGTAAAGTGACTGTCAACCCAATAAGTCAGCGTATCTGTTTGTGTGATGGCTGTAACAAGCCAGCACGTACAACCAAAGAGCGTGGAACCCAGTACTGTAGTAATGAATGCATTGTCAAACACTGCAGGTATTTACATCAGGTTTTTCTCTTATGTCAGTTTGCTTTAAAAACCCTTAGGGCCTTTTTGTATAAAGTTAGCCAACAGGTTAGCAAGCTGGCTTTGTTCATACCTCAATTCCTCATAAAATGTCCATTGTGTTTCCATGAGAAGGCAGACTGGCTTACTTGCTAGGATCTTGGCTGGTCAACCCAGGATCTTGGGAAGTTAGCCAGTGCAAAAGTTTATTGAACAAGAGAAATCTTTGATAATTCTACAATTGCTGACACAATTGTTTGGGACTGTTGTTTTACCATCTTCAAAAGATAAAAGTGGGTGATAGAGAGTAAATAGTTAATAGATCTTGTACATGTATGTAAAGAGGTGCTAAGTGATCTAGAGCTTTATAGGTGAAAAGCAGAACTTTTAAAGATAACACGTTCGTTAACCACCAGCCATTGAAGTTCTCTTTCATGATAAGTTGTGCAGCACAGTTTGGGACTTGTTAAAGATTTTGGATAAGGTTCTCCCCGTCACCCATGTAATAGTGAAATTATTACAACTATCAAGTCTACATGTGACAAACACATGCATAAGTGTTTTCAAATATCCAGCTAGACATGTATTATTTGTTTGTCTTATGACCGCTTAAACACCCATTTTTTCTATTTTTTTCTATTTTAGAATGGCTTTTACTCTTTGGGTGACACAGAGAAATGAAATATCAGAAGCCAATGGCTGAGGCTGCCATCATATTCAGATGTCACTACTGATCTGTATATCTAACATTGTTTTCTTTTTTTTTCTTTTTTCCCTGTTGGATATAAAGGTCAAAGATCTCAATTGCATTATTTATTGTAAGAAAATAAACACCTTAAGAAGCCAAAAATTGTGTTAACATATACAAATATCATTAATTTTTGTGAGTTTTGGAGATTTATGATATTGTAGCCGTATGTCTCATTCTTTAGTAGCCATATTTTCCTCTTAAGTTAATAAAGTCTTCTTAAGTTCTCTGGATTTACTAGAATTTGCTAACTCCTTCAAAACTCCCCTTCCCTCCGCCCCCCTTTAGTTCCACCAATTCACTCTTCCTTCTTTTGAGATTGTTCCTTCACACAAACAGAAAAAAAAATGTATCACCACATCAAGGAAGGCAGAGTGGCTGAGTGGTTAGAGTGCTGGACTTGTAATTCGGATACCTCAAGTTCAAGTCCTGCTCTGACCACTAGCTGGATCTGTTCACGGCACTCCTGAGTTCAAATCCTTGGCCATTCTTGCAAATAGCCAGCTGGTTTGCCTCTGGCCAGTCGGGATTCTCAACACTGTTATGTTCAATTTAAATTATTTGTTTCAGGCATTCTGCTCTGCCCCACTACCATTAGTGCTATAAATACTGCTGACGCTAAATAACTGACTATTACTACTTACTTTAAATCCTCAATAATTATTAAGCTCCTCTGGGGGACTTAATTATTTCAAGCACATTTGAAGGGGCCTGCTGTTTGAAACAACCAGAAGATGGTATCAATTATTCTTGATAAAGAGCTAGAATACAAAGTGTAAAAGTTCAGAAGATCAAAACAGATTCGAACTTTCAGCACATGAATAAAACCAAACCACAAGAAATAATGTTACATTCATGATTAAGTATTTATTAAGACTCGGGCTAATTTATCTGGAGTCAGAAGCTTTTTAAAATTACCATTACGTGATCATTAAGGAAAAAAACTTTATCTTGTTATATGACATGGCACATGATAGTATCATTATTATTATTACCGAAATAATCATTACAATAATTATTTATTATATACAACAGTCTGAACTCTATTATGTAGTTAAAAAAGGTCTGGAAACAATTTCCCTTAATTACTTCGAAACTTACTAACAAAGTAGTTGCTTTCACTTTTCCTCCCCAAGTTACTTTCCACTGCCTTGTTTCTAACATAGAGGGGCTGGGTATGAGTTGGTTTATTATATGATAAACAACAAGAGACCCACATAGTCATATGAAAAATTTTAGGTTTGGTGTCAATCAGGCCAATGTTGAACAAGCTATTTATAAACTTGAAAATTTGTAAGAGATGTATGGATTGCTGCACACATTGTTCAGACGTCTATATATTTCTCAGTAAATTTTGGAGTTTTTGAATGGCTGTATCTTGTTCAATATAGGCCTGATAAACACCAAACTTGAAATTGTTGCTAATTTCAATGTGTTCTTTCTGACTATATGGGTCCTGTGTTGTTTATCCCATAATAAATGGACTTGTACCAGCCCCTCTTGGTTTTAAACTAGGCAATTGTCTTTATCCTTTACCAGATTACTGGCCCAACGACATGTATGTATGGTCAGTATTAAATGGCCGGTAACCTCTTTACTTTTGGAACGATTGGTTACTTTAGTTTGATCTGGTCTAGCATTGTCTGTGTCTTAGGGCCAATTTTGAGTTAACAATAGTATTTAAGTCTGGTCCCAGTTGTTCAAACTTGGATTGCACTTTCCAACAGATAAATCACAATTCTGCATACCTAACGCCTTGGCAATTGGATAGAGATTTCACCAATGGATGGAGCTATCCTCCTTTTAAAAACTAGCACCTGCTTTACAAGCTTTGATGCTGTTAACAGCAAACAAATATAGGCCATGTTCACAATGGCCTTCACAAATTAGACACGACCCCACAAGCGAAGCGTCGCTTTAAATATTATCGTGTATAAATAAAGATTACTGATTGATTGATTGATTGGCATCATTTTTCAATACCACTAACAAAATCCTTCAGGGTTTTGCTTACTTGTGCAAATTAAGGTTTTTGTCATTTAAACTGCACTGGGCCAGGATTACCAAATTTAAATGTGAAGGAAAATACGAAATTAATTGAATCTGGTCCTAATAGTAAAACCTCATTGTGCAAATGGCCTATTGTCAGGGTTGGCCATTTTCTTAAAATACCTTTTCAATTCAGTTGACAAAATTCATTCTTTTTTGACACAAAACTGTTAAAAGTCAACAGACAGTTGGAGACCAACACCAAGGGTTCATTGTATGTCTCAATGTTACAGAGTAAAAAAATATACTGAAGAAAGGCAGGGCCCAACTCTGTGTTAGGAACAAAGGTGTCCAACTACATTTAAACAAAAATATGTACCACTTCCATGAGCCTCTAAGGAGTTGTGAGGCTGCTGCCATTGTGAGAGTGATCTAAAGATAAGATAAATGGACAAGCTGTCTCTGCCCACTGTTCTGGTGTTCTCATGTCTGCGGCTCGTTTTCCAAAGCAAATCTGTAGCATAGGAGTGTTGATGATTCCTGGGTTTAACGGTATACAAGCCAATGGGGCTGGCAACTCAAGGGCCATTGCCTTGGAGAGCCCCTCTATAGCCCACTTGGTAGCACAATAAGGTGCCTCGTGAGGCGCCACGCTCCTTCCCCAGCCTGAACTGAAATTAACAACTATACCTTTACCTGCTTTGATCATCTCTGGAACAAAAGAGCGAATCACATTTGTGGTACCTTTGATGTTAACGTCAATAACTTTGTTAAACTCTTCTGCTGGTATTTCCCACAAATTCTTGTTATTATTTATCACAGAGGCGTTGTTGAGAAGGAAAGTTGGCGGTCCAAACCGAGAAATAACATCTTGCGACCAATGCTTAACCTCTGTCTCGTCAACAATATTGACTACAGAAAACTTCTTGGGTTTGTTTCCGCTGCAAAACTCGTCGTTTAAGTGACGTATTTTTTCAGCTGATCGGGCACATCCTACCACTGTATGGCCCCTGGAAATGAACCATTTTACCATCGCAAGGCCCAGACCGGCGGAAACCCCAGTAATGGCTATAACCTCTTGTGCTTCCGACGCCATATTTTATTGCATGCGACAAAACACCGCACCCAAGTTAACAGTTACACCCTAGGACTGTCACACCCCAGTGGTCCCCTAGTGGCGGCTCAATAAAAGAGACTGGAGACCATTTTTTGTTGCCATGGGAACTTCCGCCATGTTTTCTTCGTTATTGATTCGACTGCCTGAAAGTGGATGCAAGTTGTACATGTATGCATATGGGAATTTTTAACATGCAGGAAGAAATAGAGAAAGCAAAAGCTTTTCTTTTGAAGACAAGTTCAGTGTCAAACAAAAATCTGTAAGTTTCTGAGTGTTTGTTATTTCAATAGAGCTAAAATGAGCCTTTTGCTGTTGATTATAAGTCGTGGTTGTAGCTGATTGTTGTTTTCTTATAACCAGATATGATCATTTAAGTGAGGTACTGAGCAAAATTTTAGACGAAAGACCTAATCATTGTGTCGGTAAGTTGGTTTCACAATCAAAGCAAGCAAAGATAGAATGCATTTAAGTGCGTTATTTCTAGCGAACATGGCTGTATTAAATATGAACAACATTGATATGCTCAATTAGCTCATTTTAGCTTTTTGTGCAATCCATGTAAACCGTGGCCCTGATAATTTGTTCTGTTAATAATATTACTACCCTATTTGTTCCAAAATAGATGTATTTGAAGACATTAGCAAAAGTATAAAACAAGAAAAGAAAGAAGAGTCAGAGGTAATGTTTGTTAACCCAGGGTTATATTTTAATTTATTTCCCCCCCCCGGCCTGAGCCCAGGGCATAAGCATTTTTTTGGGGGCAGCCCGTGACGGCAACGCCCAATCAGAAAATGGAGGCTGCCTCATCTGTGCAGCAAAAAGACAAAATGGCTGGTGGAACGCCTAGAAAGCTTTGCATGTCCCATTCCGTGGGGAATGGGACCAGGGGGGAGTTACTACCATATATGGGCTATATAGGTATGTACCACTGTGAAGAGTATGGTTTTTAAGCAGTTTACTCTAGGATAGGGTATATAAATCAGAGCGTTTGGGTCTAGAATAGGGTATCATTTTTCAGGACACTGATCAGTTGGTTGAAGATTTTATCTAGACTAGGGATTGTGGTATAAGATTTTGTTTTGGCTAGACTGTGCTAGAAACCTCAGTAGTTTCTGGAAAACAGCTACTCTATATTACAGTAACAATTACTGTAATATAGAGGGTTAATTTACAGTCTTACCTAGTTACAGTGAGGACAGGGGTAAGTGGCTCTTTGTAGGAACAGTATTGCGAGCCCTAGGATTTCACGGTAACAATCGTCTCTGGTACCGTGTTGTTACAGTGGTCTTATAAACATTGAAAACATTTAAGAGGTGGGTTCCCATGTGTTTTCACCGAGCCAAAAAATTGTTACGAATGGTTTCCCTCAATTATCTCTGGGCACGGAAACAAAAAATTGTTTTCTGTGGGAATTGAAATCCTAGGCCTTGCATTGTAGAGAGGTGAAGCTAGGATGGAATGAGTCTGCTGGAAACCATTGGCCATTGCAGAGAAATCAGGCCATAAGTAGAGGGGGCTCAACTGTACTCATATCTGACTCTCTGTTTTAGAAGTATCATAATTATTTCCTTTCCATTGAAATGCTACTCCTTTCACCTGGGAGTTTCCTACTACCCCCTACTCCCGTAAACCCTAACTGATCATGCTTCTGCTTAAAAGCAACCTTACATAAAGCATTAGAATGCTGACCTCTCAGATGAGCAGCAACTAGAAGTTTTGATTTATTGTATGTTTGCTTTCAAGTTACAGGATTTCAGAGAAGACCCAGAAAGCAAAGCAGTTGCTGAAGTACAGCAGAAGTTATTTGAGGTGAGGCAATTCTTGGTCCACTGCAGCTTATGGGTTATTATTTTACATTCAATTCACCATCTTTTTACTGATTGGCTGAAAGTGTACAGTGAATTTTCAAAATCAGCGCCTGGGACGTCATCTAGCTGCAGATTATACAATAATCATGTTGAAGACACTCACGGTCACGGGTAATCATGTCATGTGTGACCACAGAGCATGATTTCTAAGGGTAATCATGTCAAGTTCGTGCGCTTTGTGTTGCTTGCCGTCAGTGAAGAAGCAAAAACATGACTTCCAGGCTTGCTTCGTTGACCGAGCAAGACATCGAAAAAGTAGTTGAAGACAAAGACTCACAAACACAAAAAGGTCGACAAAGGTGGCGAAGGAGCTGTTTGCTGATTACATGAAAGAGAGAAAACTGAGAGAACTTGAGGAAAAGAAAGAATTGGCACAACCTTTGAAAAAAATTTATGTCGAAGCGAGAAAGAAAGGATTCGTTCAATGTATATAAATAAAACAATATTGTTAGATTTGGTTCTTGTGAAATCCAAAATAATCAAGGTCTCGGTAAGGGTTATCAGCCTCAGCCGATAACCTCTACCTCAACCTTAATTATTCTGGATATCACAAAAACCTCATCCAATAGTTGTTTATAATAAGTTGATCTTGATTTGTATGAAAGTGCCATAAAATAAATTAATCATTTATTATTAATTAATAATTAATGATTAATTTATTTAATGGCACTTTCATACAAATCAAGATTAACTTCAAATTAAATCAGGCCATTTATTTTGTAAAATATGTATAAATTGACTGATGTTGTTACCAGTAATCTGATTGTAATATTACAATATTGCTGAAGAAGTTCACTTCATTCTCAACAACACTGCTGATCTTGCAACTAAGATTATGTAATTATGTAAATCACATATTGTAACCTTGAGTGGTCTTGCTTGCAGGCTAAGGGAAATGCTAGTGCAATATGTCCATCTTTTTTTACCATAATAACCTTGAGTATTTTATGAAGTTTGAGCTGTAGTTAGAATCAAAATGGCTGCCAGTGGCTAGACTTTGAAACGTGTAATAATATTATTATTAATTTGTTTGAAAGTTTTGTAAAAATTCTTTTTTAACATGTATAGAAAGATGGAGATGCAGAGGGAGGTGAACCAGAAGCTGAGGAAGATGTTGAGACACCTCTTCCTGATCTCATGAATTTAACGTTCTACTTTGAACAAGCTGGAATTGGACTGAGCCGTGAAGAAATGTTCAGAATATTCCTTGCCCTGAAGCAGCTTGTGGATACTAAACCACTACAAATGGTTCGCTTTTGGGGTAGGGATACTTTCTTTTTAATAGTACCATATATGATATCTATGCTGTCAACTCTGAATTTAGCATATGCCATTATGAAATACAACATTCTCTAAAATAGTGGGAGGAGTGGGGCATGGTGTTAAAGGTAAAACATTGAAGAGAAAAGTTTGAAGCTAAAATGGGATTATCCCCAACCTACCATCAACTCAAAATATCCTTAAAGAGAAGATGTTTTTGGTCTTTTGCAGGCAAGGTTTTTGGAATTGAGACCAACTATTATATAGCAGAAGTAGAATACCGTGAGGGTGAAGAGGAGGAAGATGAAGAAGATGAAGAGGTGAGTTGTGAGCTTCAAAATGTAAGCTATTATAAAGTCACGTACCATCAACATCACCATCAAGGTTCTCCATTGACGCTTCTAAGAGGTCTGTTTTGTTGTGTGATTAGCAGGCAGATGGTGAAGGTGATGATCAGCCAAAGGATGAAGACAAAGGTGATGAAGGTTAGTTTGGAGTCAGTTAATTTAATTTACTAAGTTCAAATCTACGTCATACATGTATTGTTACCTGTGGTTTTTTTTTTCTTCTGCTTGTTGAAGTATCTGTGTGACAGTTCAGTGAACATGTTCAAAACGTCTCTCAGACAATGAGGATACAGTACTTTAATGGATTTGTTGAGAAAAATGAAATAATTTTTTTTAAAAAGATACCGGTAGTTACACCTGCCATAGTTTGTTGCTCATTAAAATTTCTTTATATTCTATAGATGAAGAAGGTGGTGAGGAAGATGACACTCCCAAGTCAGAATGGAAACCTCCTCCAGTTATTCCTAAAGAAGAGAACAGAACTGGCACCAACAAACGAACGTTCTTTGTCACCAATGAACGTAAGTTCGACATTTCGGACATATTCTTCATTTTCCTTAGTGTTTCCTTAGTATTTTTATACAATCTTTAATCTATGGATGACATTTTAGTGTTGTTATTTTTAGTTGTCAGTTTGATGTTAAAATAGTTTAGAGTTCTGTTTGTGTTCAGCTATTGTTTATGTCTATATTTATTGAAATAATTCATAAAAGCGTAGTCATCACTTGCATATAAGAAGCAAAAATATTATAAACAAGAAAGTGTTAAAGAAATTAAAATATAATTAAATTAATATATCAATTAATAGTAAAATTGTCCAGGCCAGGCCAGCCTTGATGCCTTTGAGGTTTGGTTGATTAATCACTTCAAGAGGTAGACTTTTCCACAATTAAGTTTACAAGTTATGATTCTTTTTCAAAGTCAGTTTTGTCGAGTGAAATGTCCGCCATTTTGTTTTCACAACCAAAACAACTCAACCTCGTCTCCAGGTCTTCTCAGTTAACAGTGCCTTTACCCGCAAGAAAGCAGCACTTTTGACGTCATCGGTTCATTACCGCAAAATTCTTCCAAATTTGGTAATCAGTAGCTGGTTATGGTGAATTATGTGTGTGCTTTTAGCCAATCAGAATCTGAGAAATATTTTTAATTAATAATAAAAGTATTTAAACTTTTGATACTGTCTGCACTCATTAAAAAAATTAATATTCACGTGAGGCTGTTTTGGCCTTGATAGTGGCGCAGATTTAAGCCCCCACGCAGATCTGCTGCTCCTATTTTACCTAAAACATACAGTTAAATGACTGTGTCATAGTTTCTTGGCTTCTTCCATGGTGACAAAAATTAAGTTTAAGAGGAGGAAAGCTTTAGTACACTGGTCCTTAAATATTCAAAACTGATCATGTTCTATTTTGTTCATAGCTGGTAAACCTTGGGTTAAGCTCCCTGCTGTCACTCCAGCACAAATAGTAGCTGCAAGATGTATCAAGAAGTTTTTTACAGGACGACTGGATGCACCAGTAAGATAAATAAGTAGTATTACATGTACATGTGTAAGAGTTAGCAGTAATCAGTAAGATGCTACAAAGATTATAAATAAAACCCAGACGAACAGTACTATATTTGATAAATCCCATGAGATAAACTCCATGAAAGCGTGCATTATATTAACTGCCAAATTTGAAGCAAAATCTGATCTTCTAAGTTTAGTGGAGACACATGACATAATAAATAAGCATTTTGTACAATCACATACAAAGAAAGCTGCCTGGTGGTAGAAGCAAACATAAGCTTTTGAGCCATTATATTTGAATACTGTTTTGCTTTTTTTGTAAAAAATTCTTCAAACGGCAGTTGCTAGAGAGTCAAGGATTCACTGAACTAGAAAGCGGTGAAAATGGTGTGACTTTAATACGGAATTCTTCCCGCTACACAGATTGTTAGTTATCCACCATTTCCTGGCAATGAAATGAATTATTTGAGGGCGCAGATTGCAAGGATCTCTGCTGGTTCTCACATCAGTCCTGCTGGGTACTTCATGTTTGAAGAGGAAGAAGAGGAGGAGGAAGAGGGTGAAGGTAAAATACAAACCATCATCTCATCGTGGTAACTAATGTTTTGTATGGCAGAGTGAAAGTTAAACACGGAAAAGAACCTCTCCGGCGTCCTTGATCTTGGGTGGGGGGGGGGGGGGGGGGGGAGGCCGCAAGGGAGGAACCCCCCCCCCCCCGCCGGGGCCTTTTCTGGGTTTCCCAAAAAAAATAACCAAAAAAAAAAAAAAACAAGGGGTGCGCAACAAAACCCCGGGGGGGGAGGAACAAAGTTAGGGACAGGAAAAACACGGGCTCTCTTTCTGGTTGCTGCAGAATTGGGTCGTGTGGGGTAATGTGTTAGGAGGGGAAAAGAGGAGGAGGGAGAGGGGGAAAAAAAAAACAAACACACCCATCGTGTTCTATAATTTATTTTGTTGTAGTGGAGAAAAAAAAAAAACAAAAAAAAAAACCCGCCCCGGGGTGGTGGGGGGGGGGGGGGGGGGGGGGGGGGGGGTGGTAGACTGCAAGGAGAGATCCCTCTCTCCTCCGCAGAGGCTCTTGCTGGGTATCCCAACAAAAATAGCCATAATAAAAAAATAGCAAGTGGTGCGCACAGAGACCTCGGCGAGTGAGGATCAAGTGTATGCACAGGTAACCCAAGCGTCGGCACTATTGCGCGGCCTTCCAAACATAAGGAAGTACAAGGAAAATAAAAATATATTTTATTTTATTGTAGAGGCACATAATTTTGACGAGATTTAGATTTTAAAAAAATGGCTCACCTTCTTTAGAAGTGTATCCTCTTTCTCAACTGGTCTCAGAGGTCTCGGAAAGGAGTTTTATGGGTTTTCTGGAATCGGTGGTTAAAGTGGTTAAATTGTCCGTTAATTCATACTTCGTATTTTTAAACTGTGTTCTTTTTTGAGACCATATGCACTGTATGAACATAGTCTTTCCAATGGAATATGGTATGAACTACTAGCTAGACGGCGGGGCAATTCCTTAGCTTAGCAATAACAGTACAAATGAGAACTTATCATAGAGAGAAGGAAATGGATACTTGTCGAATGTATGTAAGATACAGGTACGCAGATGTAAGTACCGTAACATTTAAAACGCCATTTCCATTGTTCGTTTTTGCTTTTTTCTTCTTTACAGTGCGTGATTCATACATGTTGAATGTTGACTTTGAGGGAGTCAGTGTGAGAGAGCTAGCTGATCCATCCCTTCATAACTGGGTTCATCATGTTCAATATGTACTGCCTCAGGTAGGAACTGCTGCGGACTGCAGTACAAACTACAGACAGTGGCATTCACACAAAGATGCTATTTTAAACGCTTTCTAAATTGGTTTCTGGTTTTGTAATCAGTTAATTGCGATTTTATAGTGATCTAGACAGCCTACATTGTCTTTTAGGGTCGCTGTGTTTGGCATAACCCAGTAGAAAAACCAGAGGATGATTTTGAAGAAGAGGAGGAAGAAGAGGAAAAAGAAGATGTGGAAGAACCAAAACCAGAATCAGGGCCGCAGTTATTAACATCCATCGCTGAAGACGAAGGTGATTGTACAGCTCATTCTCGTACTTGTTCGTAGCATTTCCGGCAAATGTTTTATTCGGTTTCTTTTGCTGTTTTGTTGTTGTAGCTGTGAATGGTATGCCGGCTTGGACACCAGGTGTATCATCTGAATTGTTACCTCAGTACGCCCTCGCTATCATGCGATCCAACAGATGGCCTGGTGCTGTAGCATTCGCTAAGGACAGGTGAGTCGAGCTTACAGTGTGGTGCTGACGTTCATGAAAAACAAAGTAAGACCTGGCAGCTAATCATGGGCAAAAACAAATACGGTGACAAGTGACTACGCCTCAGGTTTTTCTTAACCTTGCCTGTTGTGCTCTATTGTTCCTGTTGAATCGTCTTTATCCTAGCTAACATTAACCGCATATTTTTACCAGAGAACAGTCAATAAACAAATCGAAATACACCTTAAGATCGTCTAGTAACATGCCATCAGTCAATTCCAGCTGCGCCCGCCCCCCGGGCTACTGCGGGGCATTTGCCCGCCTTGTCAGTCCCGGGGGTGGAGCGTTTGCAAATTTTGCACTGCCCGGGGGCCGGGCATTGCCAACCCCGGGGCGATTAGCGAGCTTTTGACACGCACGCAGTTTCCTATCAGAATATAACTACACAGAAGGTTTTACTGGAAAAAAAGCAGATTGGCTCACCTGTCAAGGACAGGAATAAATTGAAGAGGGTTGTAAAGGCATGCTTATCAAGCTAGAATTACATAGCGAAAACGATGTGAATCAAGGTGTTTTGGTTATTGAATCAAATTTCTGTTGATATTATTTGAAGAACGTCCTTTCATATTTATATAACTATTCATAACGTATCACGTTACAGCGCTCTATTAATTTTAATGTCAATAATTTTACATCAATACTAAATCCCTAAACTGGTGCATGTCGTCGCGGCGTGAAGTCTTCATTAGAGTCCTAGCGCTATTACAAAGGACGACGTTAATTGAAACGAAAAATCGCACATTAAAATGCTTAAAACGGCATTGTTCGACGGTGCGATCAATGAAAAATGTAGCAGTGTTGCAAATCCACCCCGGGGCATTTGACAGCTCAGGAGTCCCCATCCCGGGGAATTTGCCATCCAAGGCAAAAAAAATGCTAATGCCCGAGGGGGACTGGGCTCAGCTGGAATTGACTGATGCAAAGGTACTTTGTCTCGATCTCCTGCTTATGTTTGCATTGTGTAAAGGGGCATCATAAATAGGTAGGAAACATTTGCAAATACCGTATACATTCGGGACTCAAGATATCAGAACCCTTTAGTCTCTTGATCTACAGGTGTTAATAATTGCAGATGAACAATACACAGAAAATACGCTGAGGTGGTGTTTGTTTCTTTGCTAGAAAATACGAAAACATTTATGTTGGCTGGGGACACAAATTTGATGCGGAAAACTACACCCCACCACCACCCCCTGCAGCAATGGATGAATACCCTGTTGTGCCAGAAGTAACGGAAGTAGATGATCCTACAGTTGAGGAGGAACGGGCATTAAAGAAAGCTCAGGAGGAAGCAATGGAAGCAGCTGAAGATATGGATGATGTCGATGATGATGAGGATGATGATGACTGAAATGATTTTAAAAAGAGTTAATTTAAAGTTATAAAGCGTTGCTTCTACTCGAAGCTGTTGTAAAATCCGAACAAGTACACGTAAATGTGACACTCCTTTCTAGACAGATAGCCAGCATTAACGACACTTGTATATAAAAAATTAATTTAACGTGTACATAATTCATTTTTCGCACGCTTGCCTGTAGAGTAAAGCTCTAGTTTTCCAAGTCTTTGATAGCATTTTTGTTTTTTTTTCTTTCATGTTACCTAAATTGTACACATGGACGATGCCAATTATATGCGCTGTTGATTATTTTGAGGAACGAGAAATAATCGTCCATAGTTACAGACCCAAGTGTTTTGTATTCATTTGTGTCAGATCTTAAAGCCCGGAAGAAACACCAACTACCTGAAGTGTCAATAGCCTTGATTCCACTCTGTAGGACTCATCATCTCTCATTTACAAACAACGTTGACAGAATGAGGTTTTTGCGAATATTTTGAAAACCACATGCTCCTGGCCCCATGTAATCCCCCGGCGTTTTCAACCTCCCCCTTCTACATACCGGTTTCATATCAGCCGACTTCGTAGGGGACAGCGATTAGTCCTGGCTTGCTGACCATTTTTTTTATGTGGTATGTCTTATCTCTGGTCTTATCTTACGTGTCAGCCGAGAAGCATTATAATGAGATGAAATTTAATGTAATGTGCTGTGAAATTGTGAGTACTGAAAAGTCATGAAACAAACTGTAACAAATCACTCTACAAATCCTTCTAAACTGCAAGTTTTTTTAAAGGAAAGTGGTATAGACCAGAAGTGGTGGATAGCTCTATCCATCGTTTGCTCAATTGGGGGCTTGTTCCACAAACTATCGAGATCTACCGTGTGCCACGAAATTTTTGCGGGAGTTTATTTTTGCGGATTGGAGATTTTTTGTGTTTTGCGGGAACTAATTTTTGCGATTAGGACAGATTGGTTCTTCTAACTGGGAATTAATTTTTGCGATTTTCAGAAAGTACCCAGTACCCAGCATTAATAATATTTTCGTTTTTATTGAGTACGTGCAATAGAAACACATATTTTCAAACAATAAACCAGTATTTCGTTGTTTCTGAATGAAGGAGACAAATTGTGATTGAACAGACACGATTTCGCAGTACTTTATTTTTGTGTAGCAAATACTATTTAAGTTAGAGAATATTTACTCTTGAATAAATTTTTCCGGGAAAAGATGTGTGCGGTAATTTTTATTTGCGGGAACTTATTTTTGCGGATCGCTGGAAAAACCGCAAAAATAGAAAAAATTAGAACCCGCACAAATTTCGTGCCCCATGGTATCTAGCTCAAACAAAGACCACACGAGACGAAATTGCTTCAGGTTCAATTTTTCTACATTTCTTTCAAAGTTTAGTTTGGTTATCCTGGTAGATACTTCATATATGATTCCTATAGTGTACTGATATATAGAGTCTTTCTTCTAGTGTACCGAGGTACTTGGCTTGCTTTAGTGTCTTGGCCTACGTCTAGTGTACCGAGGTACTTGGCTTGCTCTAGTGTCTTGGCCTACCTACTTCAGTTACTTGGCTTACTTGTGTGTCTTGGGTTTCTTGAGTATCTTGGCCTACTTCAGTAACTTGGCGTGCTTGAGGTACTTGCCTTACTTTTGTGTTTTGGCCTACTTCAGTTGCTTGGCGTGATTGACACAATTTCAGATTGTCAATGATAACAAATTTTTTGATAACTTACTTAAATATCTTCGCCTTTCCACAATAAGTCAGAAAAAAAGCCTTACAGATGAATAAAATTTGAACTACTTAGCCTATAAAACGTGAGCATCCATTAATGACTGAACAAAACGATTTCACTTATTAATCCACTTCCTCTCTACTCTCTCTGTGGAAAAATGCTTTGTGTTACCAACTACCATACATTTGACGCCCGTTTCATTAGAAATGCAGGTATCCCTCGATAAAGTATCACTACTATATTAAATTAAGGAAGCTACGTCCCCCAAAAGCTTGAAAAAAGTCGTTTCAGACAATGCGATAATAAATTATCACCAAATTTAATTATTAGGGTAACTTGCAATGTCTTAACAGTAAATTTGCTTGCTTACTTTCTTTGGAAAGAAATAGTAGTGTTTGTTAACCCCCGATCATTTGAAGTCATGACGCATTCCGTGTGTCATGTCTGCATCACAAATATAACCAAAAATCACCAACATACATTTTCTGACGAGCTACAAACCCTGTAAACATCATTATCGTAGCTTCAACATTTTAAAATTACTATTGATAGTCATAGTACCTTCCTACGAGGCCTAACAATTTAGTCCCAATAACAAGCTTTTGGTCATAACTAGTTTCAGTCTACTTTACATATTGGGCCAGTATCTTCACCCAAACAGCGTTCTACGGGGATGATGCTGGGGGACTAATTTGTTTCTTTTTTTATGATATCAATTTAAACGGTGACCCACCAAAAATTAGCCAGGAGCCCATTATCCGGAACATGCAATTGCATAGTCTTTAACATGGCGTTCTACAGACCAATTTTTCATACACAGGCCCCGGTTGTTGAAAAGCTGGATAGCAATATCCACCACATAAATCACTATCCCACGGAAACGCGGATAAAGAGATATCTAGTGGATAGCACCATCCGCCTTTTGAAAACAACTGGGGACCGCTAAGTGTACGGTTTCATTCATGACATTTGTATTTAGCAGTGTATGAGTACCCATTAGTAATACTACAAAACTAAGGAAAGCTACTGGGGGCCATCAAACGTTGCCCCTACCGTATTTGACACCACCTACCAGACTAAGCTTCTTTCGTTACGACTAAATTAAGATGAAGACTTAAAACACTGTGAGACGAATGTATTGCAGTACCATCCGGACAACAGACTCCAAGACTAGCTTCAAAATTGATGTCCCATAAAATGTGGTTCATATTCATCGACATCGTAAAACTGATCAAGTTATAAAATACGAATTGTCAGTATTGGCAGTCTTGAGCACCACTGCTGTTACAATCCAAGACCGGAAAGTAAAGTCCTTTTCGGGCAGTGTCGTTGATGGTCGTACACCTGTTCTCCCGATGGAAAGACTTCCAGACACAACCAACACATGTGCGACTTACATTGTGAGCATGTCATATGATTACAGCCTTCATTCTTTTCAATCGGAGTGTTACATTTAGGGCAGCACTTCCTATTGTCAGGAACTTTCATCATCCACTCCTTCAGACTTCCTTCTACTTTCTTTTCAGATTTGAACATGGCACAGGTAAGCCCATTGTGATACTGTGTGTGACAAGATGTACAGGTTTCAGCTAAGCAGGCTTCACACTTGTAGCATCTGCCATCTGACGACACGCGATACACCATTTCACAGTCAGCTGTTGGACAATACTTAACAGTATCAGGGTTACGTCTGACGTACGTATCTAGGGCACTACAAGCAAGTGATTTCCTTTCACTTTGAGTCAGAAGGTTCTGCAAGTCTCTCCACACAAGAGGCTCTCCGCAGCTCTCCGCCACACATTTCAGTGGGATATCTCCAGACTTTATTAGCTGGATCACGCAAGTCTTGTCGAAAGCATGGCCACAGCAAGCAAGTCTATACACTTCAGCTGTCTCGTCCAAATCACACAGGCAGATACAACAAGATATCTGGGGCTCTGGGTAATCACACTGTAATGTTTGAGGAGAGTCTGAAAGGATACTTTGGCAGCATTCTTCTAGGCAACGGTTGATTGTTTCTTGGGCCTCATGCGAACTAACGACCTGAAGGACGTGATTGTGAAATTCCACGTGGATACGTTGTACACCGGGGATCTCTTGAAGTCCCAGCAAATTTACTCCAAATCTCTTGAAGAGTGCTTTAAGCAGCCCCCGGGGCTTGCTTGGTCCTCGAAGATGAATCTGCCATGGATGGCTGTCATTTACTATTGAATCATTAAGAAAGTCGTTGATAGCACGCTTCGCTGACTCGCGGCTGGCTTGACTTCCATGTATTTTGAGAACTTTGTTCTTCCAGTCTTGATAAATTGCTGTTTCAGTATCTTTTTCAATCGATCGAAGAACTTCTTTAACTGGGTTTGTCAACAGAGTTTCCAACGAGTTTGAAATTTTGCAGTCGATTGTGTCCCCATTGAGGCTTTCGTTCAGCACTTTTGTGGCAAGAAGAAAGTGCTCCGTACTGTCGCTATGGATTTCTAGGAGAACCCTTTTGGATTTATCCTGATTTTTTACCTTGACGGTGATAGCCTTTCCAAACCTCTCCTGCAATTCCTTTATAATAGTTTGCAACTCTTCTTCAATGATACTGAAGACATTCCTTGGACATGGCAATTTAGTTGACAGATTGGGTTGCAGGGTGACGTTTCCAATGCCAGGTATTCCCTTTCCATTTAAACCCCTTACAGCAGCTTCACCTTCGTTGAAGTCTTGAAACTTAATATGAGCACACCCCAAAAAATTATTTGGACGAGGTTTAACCATAGATATAGAAAGTTTTTGGGGTGTGGTGAAGTCACCAACGCGTTCTGCAAGGAATTTTCTGTGTGACTCAAGTGTCTCATCTGTGGTTTCAAAACCTGGTTTTCGGTGTAAGATGACTTTTTTCACTTTCACGGAAGGCACCATCACTTCAATGGCAGACATAACGTCCTCCTCAGTTGTTTCAGGATCAAGTCCTCTCATGAAAAGCCTTTCTTCTGGGCAAAACTTGTCCACTTGAAATACAACCCGCCTCGACTTTATCATGAGGGAGTGAATACTGCTAAGTGTGTGAGAGAAATCTTCAGCATTAAAAAATTCTATGTTGCCAGTGCCTTTACCAGGACGTCTTACCCACGTGGCTCTCACCGCAAAATGGGAAAGTTGTACGTGCACCCCATCCGGCGTCGCATCGCTTGGTTTGATATCGGCAGAGCTCTCAACGGCCTTTGCAGCTTTATCAGATATTTTGAACGTCGCAAAAACTCGAGTTTTGCCATTCTTTTCTATGAACCGGTGTCTGACAACATCTCCAAAGGACCTCAAATAATCTAAAACCATTTTCCCATCCTCGACGTCACCAACAGTGACAGTCCTAAACATGTGAGACATCAACACTTCTTGCACTTCACCGCCTTTCCCCCAAACGATCCTGGTACCAGAACTTCCTTTCAATTTTTCTTCTCTGTCTTCGCTCCTCAGAGATCTCCTGGTTTCTTCTAAATGCTCTTCCAAAACAGATAGAGCGGTTGAGGTGTAATTTAGTGGCACGTAGGCTTTTACTTGTCCAGATTTTTCGTCTTTCTCAAGAACAACCAAACTGTCATCGCAGGCTTTAGATACTTTTTCTTGGACCTGATCAAGCATTTTTCGTCCTTGAAATCCTCTGAAAGCCAAAGTCATAAGGTCTGGACTACAAGGTAGTGTAACTTGTGTCAGAACTTCAGACATCAAATCGTCCATGTTATACTTAACAGCACCTGTCATTATCATTTCCTGAAGCCAACTCTCCTCCACAGGAGTTGCATTGATGACAAAGTCTCGAGACGTTTTGAGCAGTTGCTCAAAAACCATAAATTTTGGTGTTGTTCCCAGGAATTTAAGGGCAGAAGAAGGATGCAACTGGACACAGTGGTTCAATGATACCACTTTGTATCCTGCTTTTTCGTGACCTGTAAACACACAAAGGTTCTTGGCATAACATGAGAACAAGATTCTTTGTAACTTAAGGTCAGTGTCTTCATTCTGTTGAACAGTACCGGATACTTCGATGTTCAGTTCATTTTTTAAAGCCAGTTTAAGCTCTTTTACCGTGTCCTCAGTCAATCGGAGTGACTTAGCGTTTAGGCTTTTGTCAAACGCCCACTTGTTTCTTTTCCCTTTAGGCTGCTGAAGGTATTGCCTATAAACTTCCAGCACTGTCAACAGGTCACCACCGTTATGGCAAAAAACAACTTTTTTTTGATCTGCAAGCTGCTTTTCTTCTTCAGTGCCCATCCGGAAAAATACACTTCCACTAACGGTTGCAATTGCTGCCAATGCCACAGCATCCGCGCTGATTCCTTGATCTATTCCATTAAACACCAACTTGGCAAGGCGGGGCTCTACAGGTACTTTTGCAATCCTGTGACCCAACTCTGTAAGCTTCCCGTTTGCAATCGCACCAAGAGATTTCAATAATTCTAGTGCTAATTCTATTGATTCAAGTGGTGGCGATTCGACAAAGTCAAACTTGGTGATATCCTCAATCCCAAGCTCCATTAATTTAAGCACTGCCTGTCCAAGATGAACCCTAAGAATCTCTGGTCTAGATCCATCTTCCATAGTTTCATAATCCTCCTCGCTATAGAGCCGATAGCACTTTCCTGCCTGGGTCCTCCCCGCTCTTCCTCTACGCTGTTCAGCGGAACTCTTGTTAGTAGTTGTAACTTCTAGGGAACTTTTGTTGCGTTTCGGTTCAAACTTCATTTCTTTGACCAAACCAGTATCCACAACGAACTTTATTCCAGGAATAGTAATTGACGTCTCAGCACAGTTGGTGGCAAATATCACTTTGCGTTTATTCGTTTCCTCATTGAACACCCTTCTTTGCTCTTCTTGTCGTAGCTTCCCATGAAGAGGAAGACAGACTAAGTGTTCATTAACTGGCTCCATCTTCTTCAAATAATCACACGCGCGCTCTGTTTCTGCTGGAGAGGTAAGAAATACTAGAATATCTCCTTGACCTTCGCCGCGGTGAATTTCTCGAACTTTTTCAACCGCCTCTTGAAGGTAATTTCCACTGCTTGATGTTCCATCCCGCCATATAACATCTACTGGAAACATTCTACCAGAGACCTTTAACACAGGGCATTGGTTAAAGTAGGTGACAAATAGTGTGGGATTAATCGTAGCTGAAGTGATCACCACTCTAAGCTCAGGTCGAAGAGCAAGGCTCTTCTTTATCATACCCAGAAGTAAGTCTGTGTAAATGCTGCGCTCATGAGCTTCATCGACAATAATGCAAGAGTACTTGGACAAGCTGGGATCTCGTAGACATTCATTTAGAAGTATGTGATCTGTTGCATAAACAATGCCAGTGCTCTTACTAGCTTGAATGTTACCACCAACGTGGCAGCCGACAATTTGTCCAAGAGCTCCACCCATTTCCTGGGCCACATGGGATGCTAAGCTAGTGGCAGCTACCTTTCTTGGCTGAGTACAAACGATCAGACCATTTTCAGCAAAACCTGCCTCGTAAAGATACTGGGTCATTTGAGTACTTTTTCCGGATCCAGTCTCCCCAAGAACTACGCTAACTTGATTTTTCTTGATGGTTTCGACAATGCTGCTCTTTCTTGCGTACATGGGAAGGGCTTCGTCTAGTCTGTGGCATTCTCGACCCAACGACATCCTCAGCTTTTTGATGGTCTTCTCTACACTTGAACGTGGTTGACCGGTTTGAGCAGATAAATTTTCAAACATCTGGGAACAGAATTGTTCAAACTCTTCCTGCTGCTGCTGTAGTTCATCTCTCTTTTGCTTTATCGCTTCTCTCTCAGATTCAATTTTTTCAAACTCTTCCAAGCTAATGTGCTTGCGCACCCGAAGCACATTCAAACTTGTTTCGACTTCTTTTAATTTTGCAGCATGCTTTCCTTTTACCAGCTGGATTTTCTCTTGAAGTTCCTTTTTGCACTTGCTGATTATCATTTCTGTGGTGGCTTTAGGATCTTCCTTAACGACGGTAACTTCAACGTTTTCTCCAGAAGCCCTGATGTTTTCTTTTAGCAATTGTTCTGCTTTCTTTGCTTGATTGCCACTTTGAAAAGCAAATGTAAATTGACAAGTGCTGCCTTCCACTGCCTTTGTGTCTTTTAAGAAAAACTTAAATTCGTTTCCAAGACATTCTTTTAGGTACTTTATCATGATACCTTGACTGACATTTAGTGACTTTGGTGGCACAATTACTAAAGTGTATCCTTTTTCAGTCGAAGGTGAGGACATTCCACTTTTCCGTTTATTTTGTTCCTCTATGTGTGATTTCTTCTTGCTCTGACACTAGACGTTAGTAGGCTTCACAGCCTCTCCAACCGTTTCAACTTCTACGGGATTGTTTTCCATCGATTCAGCTTGTGACAGCGAACTTCCTTTTTCCTCTAATTCGAAATCGTGTAATGCTTGCGCATGCGCCGTACCACTCCTACCCTAATGACCAAGAAGCAACACCTAAAACAGTAACAACCGAAATAATTTGTTAATTCCCAAACTTGAGTTCTTGCTAATCGATTGCAGGACAGCTAATTACGGAAATTTGGGTTCAGTTCATTTACAACCAGTGAATGTTAGAACACATTGAATCCTTGATCCAGCTTTATCACTGAGAAAACTACAAACTCCACAGGGAGCAGAGGAGTTATCGTAAATCCAGAACCACCCAAAGGTTTGAAATATACGAACACTCCAAGGAGGACTGTTATCTCAGAAACCAGTTTATAAAATAACTAAGATATTACGCGCACTCTGATTTGCCGAGAGGCGTGTTTGCATGAGAGTATTCAAACATGGTTGTGACGTAAAGATGTTTTGCTTTCCGCGCTTTTCCACTCTCGGGAAAGTTATTTTATAAAAGCAATAGAAAACTTTTTCCCTGTGTTTGTATATCCTGATATAAACACTCGAGGGGTTGGGAGAATTCTCGACAGTTATGCAAACTCGAGACGAAGTCGAGAGTTTGCATAACTGTCAAGAATTCTCCCAACCCCTCGAGTGTTTATATCAGGCTATGCAAACACAGAAAGCGAAAGCGAAGTAGGACTGGCACGAGCGCTCTTTCCGCGCTTCCGGTGCGCTTCAATGCCGGCGAAATTTTCCTTTTTGCAAACCGGAAATCCTATTTTCTTTCTGTAATTTCATGCTACAGTGTTAAATAGATAAATTCGTTTCATAACAATATCAATAAACAGTTTCATATGTTTGTGTCTATACGTGTATAAGTCAAACTTGTTGGTCGTATAATGCCAAAATTTGAGTTTAATTTGAAAGTGTCGAATACCTCCTCCTTCCACTAAATATCACCTAATCGTCTTTCGCCGTTTCGTTTGCAAAAGCTTAACACTTCTTAACCTCAATTTTTACATATGTTAAAGGAGGATAAATTTTGTATAACATAACAAAAAAATTAGATTGATATATATTGATATAGTGGCGTTGTACTTCTTCAAACTTTGGTCCTCGGGTCCGAAACGTGTCGGTCCACGAATTCTATCGCTTGAAAGCGTTGACCACTTTGGAACAAGTGAACACTACTGAGTGGTCGAAAAAAATAAGAATCTTAATCAGCAAAACTGCAATGGTGGGGTGTTGTAAACTTTCATTGTATGCAAATGAGTCTCGTGATGAGCATGGGTTTTACTTTCGGCGATGATTAAAATGAACTGCCATGTAAATCACTTATTTGATCTCTGGCAATGATGTAATTTCTCTGGAATCGAGAGCCTTGCTTTTCGTGTAGTTTTATAACAAAGGAACTAGTGGTACTTACCAGTCGGTCATTGTGCTATGGAAGGGCCATTAAAAATGGAAAAATAAACCCACTGATTGCCAGAAAACAGTGAAGTAGTTAAGCGGCGCAGACACACAAGCGACTGATGACCGCTTTAAACCATGTAAAAACACTCGACATGACTCACCTGACCAGAATTTCCTTGGCACTTTCGTTTCTTAAAATGCTTATGACTCACCTAACCAGAATTTATCTCGCTTTCGTTATTTTCTTAAACGTTATTGTTTACTACAAGCAAGCTATTTCCTCAGTATCGAAAATGTCGTCATGTCTTATTAACGGGTTGTTCCCACCAGTCTAAAAACTCGTTATGTGACTTGTTTTACACCAACGGAAGATGGTGAAATTACATAGATTCATACCTTTGGCTCTGAATTCCCTATATTTAGGTCGTTCATGCATCTAACATGTTTAACCAAGAACGCTTGCCACCGCTTTCGCCTTTTCTGCGAAAAGGCAAACGCATGTACGCAATCTTTCCACGAAACATCAACCGGAAGCGGAAGTAGAATGCGATTGTATTCTTTTCGGGTCTTTGGGCTTAGAAAACACCAGCTTCTGCTTCTCATGCCCGGTTTTCAGCCTTAAAGTTTAATCTATATCACTATGTTTTATTTTCATCGGTAGTGAAACATACAAATATATATTTTTTATTTTTTCTTTTACAGCCTTCCTGGGGGACTGTTTTCTAGTAGTTCTGTATTGACCGTGTAGTTTCCAGTTCCTTGTGGTAAACATGGCGGCTCAGACTGGAAGGTGGAAGTCAGAGTTATAATTCCTTCTTTTATCCCAGGCGAGTGTTATTGAAAGAATGAGACCACCACCAGTAGTAACTGGCATCTCACCTGCTGAAGGTCCTCCTGGGACAAAAGTGATTATACGTGGGGAGAACCTCGGAATCAACGCCAAAGATGTGACAGGTATGAACAGCTGAATTGTCAGAATTGGAACATGTTCTTTTCCACCTAATACCTCCTTGAACTCGTTTACTTGTTACAAACATAATGCCAGTAGGTAATCCACAGAATAAGGGACCTCTTTTTTACGCATCGAATTCATGAAGTTAACCACAACACCAGCAATAGACTGGATTCTCATATAAGATAAAAATGCCCACATAAATATCCTTTTACCTATAAGATAACCAATAGGAACGATAAGCGTATGGTGACTCCAAAAAAAAACCCCGCAAAACACTTTGTTATGGCACTGATTAAAAGAGAAATTCTTACCAGTGACAAAGTCTTGTACAATATTGTTTTTGCGAGTTTTTTTTGGAGTCACCATATAAACTCAGTTACCACCAGAGCGATAAGACTCTTGGCTTACTGCGCTGTAACCTGAATTCCTGTTCACCCTATATCAAGAATGTTGCCTATAAGCCCCTGCTAAGACCGCAGCTTGAATACTGTAGCCAGATTTGAGATCCTTACGAGAAGGGTGACATCTTATCACCTGAGAAGGTACAAAGATGAGCAGCTTGCTTTGCTAGTGGAGACTACCATAAAGAGTCAAGCGTAACCAATATGATTTGTAACATCAGTTGGCAGGTTGGCAGTCACTTGAAGAGCATAGGGGGACAGCCTGCCTGATGCTTATGTACAAAATTGTTCATGCTGTTGTCAATATCTCCACCTCACGCCTCCTGCCAAGTGGTCGCCAATCATATTTATCGAACCCTTGACCTTTGCAATGTTAGCGCAGTGCTCTAACAGCTGGGACCAGGTCAAAGGTTTAATTCCCATACCAGCCTAAATTTTTCAGGATTTCTTTTCGTGACTACAAAAGCTGCATCTATTATTAAACCTTACTGCAATGATCTTCTTTCATGACTACCTTGGGGACAGAGATCAGATGGGTGCCTTGCGGAGAGGATAAACAAGTGTATAATGCATTCCTCAAATAAATGGCCATCTTGGAGGGGTAGACAATACAAGAGGTTTAGAGTACACTTATTTGAATACTTTTAATATTTATAGGACTGTCAATTTGTGGTGCAAACTGCCTACTTTCTGCGGATTATAAGTCAGCTGGTAAAATCATAGCACGAACTGGTCAGGCCAAGCCAGGCAAAGGAGATGTTATTGTGACAACACGGTCTGGGGGTGTAGGAACCTCAACTGTGCAGTTTAAAAGTGTTATAGTAGTGCCAGGTAGGTTGAATAAAAATATGTGTGCACTTCTTTCAGGGCTTTTTTCAGCAGATTGCATAATCCACAGGGACGGATCTAGGGGGAGGGTGCAGGGGGTGCGCATCCCCCCCTGAGATGACCTGCAGTTTTCTAATACAACTGGTATTCTGCAAAAAAAAAAACTATTTGGTTCATTGGTGTTGAAGTAGAGCAAGAGACGAGTGCACCCCCTCCTAAAAAAAATCCTGGATCTGCCCCTGATCCATGAGAAATCTCATGGATTTCAAACAAAATTTTGTTATAACTTAGAATATAATTTGATATGTTTTCAGTTGACTGTATACATGTTGATATATACATGTTGATTTAAACTTGCTGTCTGCAGATCCATTGAAAGAAAGTGCTGTTTGGTTAGATGAGGTTGATCCAGAAGAGCTAAGGGCAAGATCTGGTTCAGCAAGACCAGTATCACCTCAGATAAACGCAAGCCAGGATCCTCTAGGAACAGGAACTGATGTTTTTGGGTCAGTTCATTCAAACAGCCACTGTAGCCATTTATTTTTTTGTATCTCAATACCTTTTTCTGACCCTGGTGTTGGTCAGTGGCTTCCCCCCTAAATATTGCTTGTTCTTGCAGTCAGCTACCCACCCTGTTTTGCAGGCCTTTGGTTCACAGGCTCATTCAAGCTGACAAAATTTACCGCTATACACAAGAAAAGCAAGTTTTAAAGCTACTAACACATGTAACTGTATTTATGAGTAAAATTTTAATATAACTGCTCATATTGTGATGTTTAAGTCATGTAATTGACATTGTCTGATAGAAATGAAATCAATGTGTAACCACAGGAAAGAGTAAAGAGGTCCACCAGTGCACAACTTAAATTTAACTTAACTTTCTAAAATTCCTTGATCAGCCCCTGTAATAATAATGTTCAGCATGTCCTAGACCCGCTAAGCCTGCGAGCAAGCTCTCTGGGGCACTCTGGCGGTGGGGTGGGAAAAGGAAGGAGAGCTTGCAACTACTTCTCTGGAATTGGAATACCTGTATAGAAAAAGTTGATGTGAAATGCTGATTGGTGGAGATGACATTAGTAATGATGTCATTACCTTTGGCTTGTGCTTTCACATGTTTTTCAATGTTTGTTTACTTTCGTGCTGGCGAAAATCTCACCACTCAGTCGACGGGAAGCTATAAGGGAATTGTACGGGGAATTCAAATTTCCAAAGATGTAATTGCAAGCTCTCCTTCCCTTTCCCACCGTGCTGCCACATCACCCCAGAGAGCTAGCTCTCTGGCTAAGACCTGCACTGAGTAACATATCTTATGTATAATATGTTTACTCTTTGTTTACTATTTAGTTATAAGCTTACAGAAGAGCAGCTGGAAGATTTTTATCCTGAAGGTAAGATTATGTTTAGCATTATTGCTTACATGTAATAATGGGCATTAAAAGTAGAACCATAACCATCTTTATTACGAAAGTGATCTTTTGTTGTCATGGAAATGTGGTTTTGAAAAGGCAGTGAGGAGTGTGTATTAAGTACGTGTGATATAATTAAAGTCTGTAATATTTTATGTAGTCATTATAATGAAGTTAAAAGGTACTTATATATTGGGTAATTCATAAACCATGTTTCATGTGGAAAACAATATTTATCTAATGTATTTCTTTGTAGGAAGTGGAAACATTCTGAGTGACAACTTTCATCCTGGTTGGTTTTTACTGGAAAAGCACGCAGACACTGAGTGAGTGGAATAATTATCATTTAACAAATCAGACACAGTGTTCGGTTGTCTTAATTAACCGTTAAAATCATAGATACCAAGATGATATGTCTGAAACTCAGCTTCAGTTTTAGTTTCATTTTCTTTTTTGCTAGAAAATAGACAGTCTCAAAATGCATTAATAATAATAATAATCATTACATTATTGTTATTTTTAATGTTGTTATAATTTTTATTGTTGTAAATATGTTGAATATATTGTTATTATGTTTCACTTACCCCAAATTATTATTGCTACTCCTACATTAAGATTAGAAAAAAAGAGATCTATAAAGAAAAAATCACCGTGCATGGTGATTAAAGACATTGCTCCTCTTTTCATACAAATTATATGTTAAGCCATTAAATCTGCTTGTATGCATTATTCAATGTAGTATATTATTGCTGTATATTTTTCTCTCACCATCAGATTTATTACATTAAGAGGCGGTCTCAAGTATCTGAGGCATGAAGAGTCCAGACGTGCAGCAGATCCTTTAGTTTTTGTGAAAGAAAATGTTGCTACTTTTCTAGATGCTGTTGATACATTAAGAAGTATCCTTAAATGTAACAAAATCTGTATTAAGTGGCTCTCAAATTTACTTAAAGCTTGTCTTAATTAAGTGTTGATTAAACACTGAGGAAATTAAGAAAATATTAAGAATAAAACACAACAGTGAAAGACATACAAGGTGCAACTGCACAAGATGATTGGGGGGAGTCATAACAGATGCATAGCAAGGAGGACATAACAAAAGCCAGCTTGTGCTGGCAAAATTTGACTTCATTTTACTAGTCTGGATATCTTTGGCAAACTATGATAAAAAGTTGTTTCTCTAGTTCCTCACTGTAATACAGCACTTTGCCACAAGAACAATGTACCTACCTGTCAATAACGGTTGCATTTAAACACGAATGTTCTCTTTTTTGGCCTATTTTGTGAAAAACTATGTTCTTAAATAGTTCCTTGACCTGATTGTAAGATGTTCAGCATGATATGCTTCGTGATGAGAGTAACTGTGATGGAGGATCCATTGTAGAGAAACTTGAGTCCTTTGTTCAAGGTAAAGTTAGTGAGTCCTTTGCCATTGGATTAGGCTATTTTCTTTGGCAATGTGTTTCAGGTGCAGGTCCCTACTACGTGGCGTGGCAGGAACTTTCTTAACCAAATATACTGTTATTTATCCTTGTAGTTATCAAAAGTGAGTTGTAAGTAAGTAAAGCTCAAGCTTAGTTTCTTTAACTGTTCATTAGCTTCTACGCCACATTTTTAATTTGAAGATTTAGGTAACAATATTATGATGCTGTTTAAAGTATCGTACCCAGTTACAGATCAAAATGTTAAAATGAAGACCAGTATTATTGAAAAATTAATAGAGCTTTGAAATGCCTTTGGCTTCACTATGGTTGGTTTTAGTGGCTGGTTCATGATAGTTTCTTTATGGATCCACGAGGATTAGTAGTGCAGGCTATAGTCTCTAGTGGCTGCACAAGAACTATAGCTCTGAAGTTATGGTGTGCAAGTTTCAGGAGGTACAGGAAGGAGATGGTTTCCTCCTCTTTCTCCTCCCCCCCTAGTTTAATCCCTTTTCTTAATATCCGCCTTGCCCTCCCCAATCTTCATCTTCTTAAAAACTACACGCTTGAAATTAACTAAGTGCTAGCGCCCCCCAAATTTTTCCGAAAACCAAGACCTCCAGCTTGAAGCTAACCGTGACTATTCCTTAATGTTTGCTGCAGGTGCAAGCAAAAATGCTGAGGGTTTGTTTCAAGATGTACTGGGTCGTAAAGATGATGCTGACAGAACTAGGAATGCACTTAATGTACTTCAGAGATTCAGATTTCTGTTCAGCCTTCCACAGTGCATTGAGAGGAACATTCAACTAGTAAATATCACAAATTATTATTAAACCAAGAAAACTGCTCGTCTTTTGCAATAATATATTAGTGTTTGGTTCAGACTGCATTGATTGGTGTGGTGCTATATTAAGCATGTAGTAATTTAATTTATTAGTTACAAGCTACAATATTCCAGAGATTAGCACTTGAGTCTGGTGGTTCATTGCATAATTAGCAGAAGTACACTCAAGCTCAGTAAGCCAGTAGAAGGCTTATACAAGGCTTAGAAAGATATTTTCAAAGCTCATTAAGAATATAATACAATATATAAACCTTATTGTATTATAGTTCCGTGCAAATTAATATAATAATTAATAACAATCATTGAATAAGTAGGATAGGAAGAATCATGCAGATTGAGGAGGATGTTTAATCTACCAATGCTGATGGCCGAGGTGGATAACATCCTCTGAGATGATTTGCATAATTCTTCACATCTTTTGACAGCTGAATTCAATAATGAAATTGTTAATTATTATTCATTCAAAATATTTTTTAGTTTTTAATATGCTTACGTCCAAGTTTGTTTTCAAAAAATATTTGGCCTATACTTCTCGGCATGGTTTCAGGATGTAAACAGATGTTTTATCTTGTAGATACTCCTCGAAAAGTAGATAAAACCCATTGAGCAAGATGTTTTGTGTATTCTTGCATTACTTCAATATCAAATATAACATCAAATTGATGGTATATTGCTTAATTATGGCAAGCGCCTGTTGGTCAAGAAGAATTAGCTGGGGGATTAGAGGCAATCGGAAATGGCAAAATATTATTAATGAATAAATTGTATATCTTGAGACTAAAACAATGTTGAAACTCCTAAAATAAGTCACTTTGAATTTGGCTATTTTCTTTTTTTTTATAGTAAATGAATCTGGTCTTTACTTATTTCTTTAGGGTGAATATGAGATGGTAATTAGTGATTATGGAAGGGCCAAGTCATTATTTGCAGGAACGGATATAAAGATTTTCAAAAGAGGTGTGGTGATTGCTATTGTTTATGGACCAACATGTTGTTTATAGAATCATGTATTTCTTCTCGCTGGAATTTATATATTCAGATCTGTCCTTATGTACTTTTTCCTTTTCTAATGTACAGTGCTGCAAGAAGTTGAAGCAAAAATAGAAGGCTTTCGACAGCATCTTAAATTAAAACTGAGTGACTTGCCATCACCATTAGAAGATCAGAAGAGACTCATTAGGTAATTATCATGTAAAATAATAAAGTGTGAAAATTATCTCACTCTCATCAGCAGCATCCAAAGCAACTTTTGGTAAATTTATATAATTCTTTTATCATCCATTGCAGTCATGCAAGCAAAATCAGCTCTTTTCAGTTAGATTGACATCCATGATTTTTCTGCAGTTTAACAAGATTTGGTGGTTCACCATGTTGTAATGATAAACACGAAAGCATACAGAACTCTTCTTTTCAAGAACAACTCATTGCAAATTCATCGTTTGTTGTTGTCCAGTATAGCTAAGGCTATGTTTTAGGGGTAAATATCCAAGAGATAGGATGTCACCAATCATGTCTTGGTATGGTAGTTTAAAGCAGGTTAAGTTAATCTGTTCGTATTACTAACTTCAAATTATTATTTTCTAGTTCATTGTTAATTATTTCCCTAAATTAATCAGATAAAATTAATGTAAGAAATACTTTTCAATTAGAGAACGGTATTGTGATTAAACTTTATCCAAACTGTATGTAGATTCAAAAGCTGCAAAATAGGCTCTTGGCAGTGTAAAACGTGGCTTAGGAATGACTGGCCTGATGATTCCTTAAACATGTTGCCATGATCCAGATCATTACTTCACTGCATGAAATGATCAATATTTTCTGTGTGTTTTTCAAGAAGACCTTATAAAGACCTTTAAGTTGAAACTTGCAGTTGAGGGTGGCATATTTTGATATGTGGATATTTGTAACTTATGGCCAAATTAACTGTTTTTGTAGTCACTACAATCTGAGATGTGGAATTTGGTTTCAGATATCTGGTAGACCTAGACTATCAGGGGGACCCTGCTTGGGAATGTCTTGCAAATCAGAAAGACTGGTTACTCAAATTACTGATGAGCTCTCAAGAAGATCACAAATCTAAGGGTATAAACCATTGTCTTATGTTTATCACATAATAAATTATTCTATATCAAGGTCTTGGTGTTCCATCATAAAGGGGAGTTTACTGTGTTTTCACTCCCCTTTAGATTCTGTTCCCATGCTTCAAGTTGATTCAGCAAAGGTTGATTTAGACATCAGAACATCAAGAAGTGCCTTGTCTTTAGGTTTGTAACTGATTTCAATTCATAATGATACCAATGATACGTTTAAGAGACTGTTGTCATTTATGTTCCATTTTGTCTTGTGTTAATTAAGTCTGATTTAGGGTTTAATAATAACACATCTTATTCATAATTTAGCATCCTACCGAGGTGAATCTCTGGGGATTCTTGGAGTTTCGTCACCACCAAATAAGACCTCATCAGTAGAGTGCAGCAGTAAGTCACCATAGTTACAGTTTTTTGCTGACTATGTACATTGTATACAAAGGTTGAAATCTCTGATAAATCGAGCGCTAGTTAATCAGCCACAAGACTTTCTATAACACATTTGGTAAAAATCTAGGCTAGCCTCAAAGTGTGTCGTTTCCAAATGAAGGGTTTACTAGAAGAGTTGTTCTGTGGCTGGTTTTGAATTCTTTTAGTACATCCAAAACGGCACTTACATATTTCTCCAATTAGTTTGAATAGATTGAAGCTGCATTAAAATGGCCTTTCATCATCATCATCATCATCATCATCATCATCATCATCACCATCACCACCACCACCACCACCACCACCATCATCATCATCATCATCATCATCATCATCATCGTCGCACTGCATAATTAGGCTTTTTTCGAATTGCTCCAAGCCTTTGTTTCAAAGCGAGGTAAAGTGCGAAGCAACAGATATAAAAATGATTTTTTTATTCTCATACAAAGAAAACACATGTCCACAGGGATGCAGTTTGTGTCACGCGTGTCATTTCTTTGTATCAACAGACCTGTCTTAGTTTGTGCTTTTAATTTTCTTTTTGTTTCAGTGAAAGGTGTGAGTGCCGTACCACAACGCGTACTGTTTGTAGAAGAACTTTCAGAACTGTTAATAGAAGGCTTACCGGACTTGTGGAAACTTGGCCAGGCGTATTTTAACGGCGATCTTGCAGCTGATGTATGTGCTCAAAAAAAGAACTCATAGAAAATCCTGTAGATTTGTGTGAAAGATCATTTTTGATAGGAGGGTCAGAGAAAAGTACGAGCGAGAATGAAACGTGTATTTTTTGGTTGTTGTTGTATTTATGATAGCTTGTGGTAATAGTCACTGTTTGATGCATTCTTTAGTCTAGCAGTGGATCATCCAAACAACTTAATGCAACTGAACAAAAGAGGAAAACGTTTGAGGTGGGTTACCTTAATACAAAGTATACAAAAACCATCAGTTAAGCACTTTCTTTTCAGTAGAAACTAAATGGGCACCATGTGCATGACAACTGAGTTTGTTTCGTATAATTTGTATCATTTACACTGTAGTTTTTGAAATGAAAACTTTGTTCATTTTAAGGCGCTTGATATTTGAAATGGCTAGTAGTAAAGGTCAAATTTTAGCCTTGTGAATTTGTGGAAAGATCATTAACTGGCACATTATGTCGTTAGTGACTATATGAATTATGTCAAGCCGCTTCTCGGATTTTGGTGGGGTGCCTTTAACCAGATCCCTTTGTTTTCAGGACATGATCGTCGATGTGGCGTCGTTGTATGCAGATTTGATAAAGGCGGCATTCTTTCCAAGTTGCCCTGCAGTACTAAGTATTTCCAGCAAAGAGAAGCAAAGCTCATCATGGCAGAGTCCTGCAGATGGAGTGGGTGCCTGGCTTCCCTCCTGTGTTAGACATGTCAGGTACAAAGTAGCGCCGGCGAGCCAGAACAGACGAAACATAAAAACAGTTACATGTGTCCCATATTTAGCTGTCAGCAGTGCTTTAAGTGAATTAAGTCATAAGCTACTGAACAGGATTAAGCGATATTGGTATTTGTAATTCGCCCTAGGATGATTAACTGCTACAGATAGCTTTGAGACCAGGAATCACAGAACAGACCGTTAGAAGATTTTGATTTTGCCAGTTTTGTCAATAAGTCGAGACAGATAGAGAATTACCTTCTAAGTCATCAAAAGTTGATGAAACAGACCAAGAGATCAGAGATTTTAATATGTTGCATTTTCGGTACTAGGTCTTGTATGGAGTCTTTACAGAAGCTGTCTCTACCGCCACAATCTTTGGAACCAATCAAGAAGCTTGTCGGTGATCTCAGACTACTTTGCGCCAAAGAAGTGTTTAAGGAGGCTATTGAAGGTAATCTAAACGAAACGATACGGTGCCAGTTTTCCATCTCTTGCAGCCTGTGGCTGAATTGCAGAGGACCTGAGGGCACAATGCAAGTCAGTTAGACCATAACTGCGGGGCCTACGTCACCTACTCTTGTCTCGTTTTTTTTTTTCACGTCTCCTTCCGATTAATGTATAAGGATGAAGAAAACAAAGCGAAAGGCTTAACGTCATCGCCCTAATGATGGGCTCATGTGAACGGAGACAGGGTTTTATTCACGGTTAGCCTGGTCTCATTAGTTTTTGCTCGGGCGTTTCCATGGGAACGACTCAAGCTATGAAATGAGAAGGGTTTTTTTCTTCTGGCACAAGTCGCCCTCCGGCGCCTTCAGCGCGTGCGCAAGATATAAGAGTATGCGTAAAATAGGTTAGCGTTCTAAACCAGAGCACATTGCACATGGCTGACTGAGACACGGTGAGCAAAGGCATCTGTATTCGGTGAAAAAAATTCAGTGACCATGAGAATGAATTATGTCGTTTGTTATACGCGAAAACTTTATACCAAATGTACACGCTGTTCATCTCTAGACCTACGGTAAAAGAGGGCGAGCAAACGGTTCAGTTCGTCAACTGGTCAGAAACTGAATAACTGTTCTGAGTGAAGGTCGGTGAACCTTATGAAGAAGCCCTCTCGAAGTGGTGAGCTGCCAACGGAATTTGGACAGAGTGTTGTTTATATTTCGATATACCTTGGCGGCCTTTGAAGATTGTGATTTCTTGGATGAAGTTTTCTCATTTGAATTTTTTTTTATACGGACGCCCGAGCTCACGCAGTAAATATGCGTCTAGTTTCTATGAAGACCTTTGTTGGTTGGCCGGCCCCTCCCACTCAGCAGACCAGCACTCTTCAAACTGAGATATTAAACCGGTGGGGGTTAGTATTGTGTAGTAGAATTGTACGATACGCGCCTTGCGCCCAAACATGTGGTTTTTATTGGCACAGTGTCATGGAAAAGTTTATTGAATGGGCGATGAAATTGGTAAGTAAAATCCTGGTTTATTGTGTTACCACGGCTTTTCAGGCGGCGAGATGTTCTGTCGTTAAGAAAGCAGACTCTTAGAACAGTTTTCTTGTTGTTTCACCTTGTTGTATGTGACTGGCAGCAGTCGAGTCAGTCGACATTTGGAAAGTACTTGTCAGGTTGATATAATATGTACATATATTTTTTTCAGATATCAAGTCCTTGCATTGTAATGAGCTATGGAGTTTGGAATCGCAGGAAGGCGTTGGTCGAATCACAAGCTTGGTAGGTAACTCAGAACTGGCTGACAAAGTGAATATCGAGTTAGTAAACAATTAGTCACACATAATGCAGGGGGCACGGCTTGCAAGAGGCATTTGTTAGAACTGGAGCTGCATGTACTTCTTTCGGGTGAATTACCTTTCCATGAAAATAACTACAGCCGTATTAAGAATAAGATCTTAAACGCCCATAAAATTACAAGAAACCAGCTTCTGCTTCATGCTGCTGCTGTTCCTTAACCTTAGTAGATCGTTGGGGCTTCAGTGACCGACACAGCCGACAGCCTCAAGAAGTTCTCTCGCACGTCCCCTGTTTCTGCTCTAAGGAAACCAGTGAGCGTCCTACCCTCACTTCCTTGATATTCTTGCCCTCTAGGACTCTAGGATTCATTTTTTTTTTCAAGGCTGGATGAACGCGACACACGTCCTAACTATTTCAATTTCTACTTCTTTTTGGTAGTAAGCAAGTAATCATATGACTCAATGAACTTAAAACGTAACTTTGGAGGGGCGATAATTCCTCGGTATAAATTAAGAGCGTTTCTTCCTGTATTTTCAGCATTTTTAACACCCACGAAAATTGAATTAAAATGTGAGTTTTCTTGGTATCCGCAGTAGTTGACAGTTTCCTTAGCCGTGTTTTTTTGACGTGTCGCTAGAGCTCTTAATCATTATCCAACTACATGTACTTATCCTCTACTTTCTATTCCAGCCGTTGATGTTTGAGAATATTGTCATGGAAACACTGCATACGTTGCGAGAAATGGTCACACATGGCGCGGAAACGGAAAGGAGAAAGGTAACAGTGCTCACTCACCGGATGGTTAACTACCTTTTAAACTGAGCTCTTGAAAAGAAAGGGTTTTAGCCCTTCCTTAAAGCCCCTTACTCCCATAACGTTGTATTCAAAATGCTTTTGTTTCGTTTGGCGTAAAAATAAACGAAATCTTTCCATTGTGCGCAAAACGCATGCCTATTGATAATAAGTACATGTTCCTCCACAGCCTGGCTGAAACAGGTTGGCTTTTGTATATTTTCAATTTTCCATAGTCCTGTTCATCGACGCTCCTCTGGGGTCATTTAATAAAACTTTTACACGTGTAGTTCACAAGTTTAGCTATTGTTTTCAGTTTCTAAAACAATGGTTACACTTGTAAATTACATTGTTAAAGTCTTATTATATTGACATCCTGGGGTCAATTTAATAAAGCTTTTACAAGTGTAATTTACAAGTGTAACCATTGTTCTAGGGTCTGAACACAATAGCTAAACTTGTAAATTTGACTTGTAAAAGTTTTATTAAATTGACCCCTGGAGACAGAGGTAAGGACTTCTTGTTGTAGAACCAACAAGCTTCTACTGACATTATTCTATTACTCAATGAATCGTTTGCCTTCCATTATGTAGAATATTCAATTGAAGACAAGCGCTGTTGATCTTTTCAAGGACATGTTTGAGGTTTGTTGTACAGCAGGGTAGAGTCAGTTCTGTGTGTATGTTTCTGTGTGAACTGTTTGTGTAATTTACCTCAGTGACTCCCTGAGTTACCATCAGTGACAGTAAACTCTATCTCTTAGACACTCGTATTGTTATAATTTAAACTTCAAATACAAATGTGTATTTTCTTCCTCCACTTAGGCCTTTATCGAGTGCCTGCAACATTTAGCCTTTCAACCCGATCAGGAGTCAGACAAAGTCTCCCTGTAAGAGTTTGTTTTTTCATATCATGCTTGTTTTGTACACTAATTTGTATTGGAATAAAACGTATTTTCCTTGTTTTTTATGATCAAATGGTTGCTAACAACAACTTTAATGCAACACCCTAGTCTCCGACTTTGTGTCGGCACCTGGGGACCCTGTATCTGTTTATAGAAAAGTTTCAAACTCTACAGGACATCCACTTTTATCTATAATGCCTCGTGTCAACTCGTCTAGCTAGCTATCATCTTAGCAAAGAAACTTGTAATAAACCTAAGATTAATAACTCTGCGTTTTAAACTCTTTTATTAACCGTTAAGTTTTTAAATACGAATTAGTTTTGTAATTTGTCAGATTTTAATTGTTAGTTTTTACCTTTTTATACTTTTTACTAGATGTAAAATTTCTGAATTAAATACACTTGTAACAAAAGATAAGTATTTTTGTCTTTTGACCGAATGAAGACTTAATTATTACTATATTATTATACGGAGATCGGCGTACATGCACCTGTGCTGGGTTATGTGTTGAAGTTCTTGTGGTGATGTGTTTGTTGTGTAATCAGGTCTGGCCCTCAGGAAAGTAGCTCGATTGGTTCTCAAGACAACTTGGAGAGGTCATCGTTATCGACAATGGAGGACAGCACTCCTGTTATTGTAAGTTAATGGCGCACATATGTTATTAAAATTTGTTAGCGTCTTTTGTCACACGGAGACAAGAGCAGGCTATCAACGTCTTCACTTGAGTTCAGACTGTAAACTCCAAAATTTGGCTCGTAGTCTGAGCACTGTTGCATTTTTGGTAGCGATGTAGTGACAGACAGTGAAGGCATACATGCAGTATTATCAGAAACAACGTACTTTATTTAGGTGTCAGTGTATTTAGCACGCAATACTAACTGAGGACCTGGGTTTTACTATTTCTACGCGGTCATCCTTGACAAGCGAAGGTCCAGCTGTTTGCAAGGCAAAGGCAGTACACCCTATCTCAGTTTTGTTAAGACCCTGGGTATTGCTCCTTTCTCGGGAATTGAACCCACGACCTCCCGCTCTCCACACCAACAGGTTACTGACAAAGCTAAACTGACCGCGGTAAATGCAGAATTGTGACACTTATCACACTTTTTTGTGGCCATCCTCAAACGACTCCGACGTGTTGGTCCAAACTTATCCAACAAGAGCGCTGAATCTTTCGTTCCGATCGTCTCTCCCTATCTGACCACAGGTTAAGGTTTCTTATAAGGCCAAAGAATCAAGGGTTTAAAACCATGCGTTTGTGTCTCTTGAACCCAGACTAACTCAATCTATTGCCATTGCTAGGATGAAAGGCTGCTGATTGTACTAAACAACTGTCGCTATGTGCGGAACAATGTTCTCTCCAAGCTAGTTGACTGCTTTAGAAGTAATGACTACCCTGTCGGTGACAAGCTCAAGAAGGTAACGCACCTATCAGAACTTGATTAATATGAACTAAATAAAAAGGTTACTAAACGATTTCAAGCATTCATTCATGAATGACTTGGCACTGTGTCATCAGCAATTTCATCTTTTCTTTCAATTGTTACTCAACGCCTTTATATAGGTACAGAAAAAACCAATGCTGTCTGTTCTATTGTCTTCAGGATCTTACAAGTGAGTTAAACGATTTAGAAGGGAAGATTTTTGATGCATACATTGAACAGAAAGCCGACCCACTGATAGCATATGTGGAGCCTGGGATGACGATATGCGATTTTAAATGGCACAACTGCCTTCCACCAAAAGGTAAACATTTATTAGAGGCAATTTTATTGTGGTCAGGTAGGTTGTCTTGTACTAATGATCCGATTCTGGCAGTGTTTTCTTGCGTTTTCAGGGAGGTTCTTATACTTCTCTCTGAGTTTGCGCTACTGAGATGAATTTTTTTGTATCTTATTGCAGATGTTCGTAGCTATGTGAAGGAGGTTCTAATGAACCTTGTTACTGTGCATGCGCAGGTAAGTACGATCAGTGGCTGATCACGGGGAGGTCAAGCCAGGTCATAGCATTCATACTAAATAGTGATAAGCATTTCCAGCTCTTTAATTAGCGAACTCAGAAGTAATATTTGCAAAATTTTCGACACGTTAACATTGGCCCTTATGGGCTCTTGAGTCTAAGACGTTTTCTTAAAAATGCCAATTTCCCTTCATAATCGACGACGTATTTTTGTAATAAGCGTTATATTCATTCAGTTATAAACTGCTTTAATTTCCCTGGTGTTGTTTTGATAGTTGTTGTTGTTTATTTTTCACGTTTTCTGACACAGATGTCACACAATATTCGTCCAGGTTTTGTTGACTGCTCGCACAATACTTTACATCAAAACAAATGTAGTCAAACTTTTATCAGTGAATGTAAGACTTAAGAGTAGTGACAGTGTGGCCGAGGACATCCCGGGTTCAAGACCAACTTTGACCACTTGATAGCGTTGTACCTCGCTAGCCTTTACTGTAACCTAGCAACTACAAATTGAGCTTTTAACCAGGCTGTCTTATTTGCTCAGCTCTACTTACCTTCCGTCATTTTCTTGTGCCTGTAAAATTAACGGGAGTGAATAAAGCTTCCTTATTATTAACTTATTTAATATTAAGTCGCTGCTGGATCCGTAGGTTTCAATTAGGCACCTTAACATAGACCCTTTCTGCTTACGGATTCTGGGATGCCAACATGTTTGCCGCCGGTAGTTAAAGGCGTTAATAATTTACCAGCTGTGGGTGTGGTATCGGTCTACCTGCATTTGCGGCCATGGGTCGGTAAAATTTCCCCCTACCCGTACACCGAAATGCTGTATTTTAGGTCAGGGACAAACGTCGAACTTGGCAGTTAGCATTAGGCTCGTCTCATGTGATTTTTGACGTCTGACTAGGGCCTTACAGGTCTCTATTAATACTACTATTTTGTGGGCAGGTGTTTGCTGTCTCAGAGGAGCTACTGACTCAGGTGCTGTGCCGACTGACTGATATGTTAGCAGATGAGTTTTGCAGACTCGTATCTGCGGTCAAAACGTTTACTTCAGCTGGTGCTGTCACGGTGCGTTTACAAAAACATTTTATTGATAGCTCCTTTATTCTCGCACAAGTAGGCTTTGCAGAGAAAAAATCCTTTATTGTGGGGTAAGAGGGATGAGATGGTATTCGTTTGCTTCGCTTTGAAAAGGTTCTTTGACAAAGATCCAATCACAAGGATGACCTAAAAACAGGACTTTGTTGTTTCTAAGGCCGTGTTCCGAAGAGTTATAAGATACTTGTGGAGTTAATATGGATATATCACAATCGTGGCCGACGCTGGCCCATCGTTCGGGTCAATGAAGCATTCTAGGGAGAACTCGTATTAATATAATCGTTGTATTCCTATTACTATATTTGCAGACCAATCGAATGTTCTCTAAATGTTTTGCTCACAGTCCCATTGTTGTTTTAGGCGCACTTGGAAGCACGAGCTATACAAGAAGCATTGGCTGCCTATCTCACACAACACTCCAGGTACTGCAGCTGTATTATTTGGCGATTTTTAAAGTAGCTTTTGATATATCCTGCTCTTGTCTAAATATCCAATTAACACCTCAACTCCCATGCGAAACCCCAAAAAGGAAATAAAAACGAACACCTATTGCCATCGCGTTCTCACTGGAGGCCGCACGAGTTTATTGTAATCAAGGCGGTAACAAATAAAGCTCGGTTAACATTTGTAAAAAAAAACAAGAACAAAAAGGGGAGAACTAACGGGCATTCATAGGATGAAAAAACCTCTCCGTGCTGGCAACAGCAAAGCAAAGGAAACGTTCCGGCCCTATGAATAATCTCCCACGACCTGCGTGGCTCGGTCTTAACAGATTACTGAAAGGATTAAATCCCTAAGGATCTAGAGACCGCTAAACGCGATTGAATACTGTCCTTAACATAATCATCTTTTGCTTTCTCAATCACCCAACGGCCGTGACGCTTAAAAAGTCTGTCCTGAATACTAACATTAGCAGCAGCCGTTGCTCCTCCGGCTCGGAGACTATGAGTACCAATGTTAGAAACGTCAGTAAAATATCTGGCTCTTACACAGCTAATCCCTTGGCGTCGGACCTTTTCTTTTCGAGGGCTCGGCTTGTGATGCTGCCCTGCTCTCTGCGGGTGACATGTCCGATCCATCTCCATCGCCTTCGCATAATGATGGTCTCCATGCTCTCTTGGTTGCAGCGGGCGAGAAGTTGTTGGTTCGAGATAGTCTCAGGCTAGAAAATACGCAGGATCCTTCTGAGGTTCTTTGTATGGAAGGTGGACAACTTGTTCAGGTCACACTCCGTCATCCTCCAGAATTTCGAGCCGTACAGTAGAGTGGAAAGCACACAGCTCTGGCACAGTCTTGGTTTGGTCTTGGTGCTGTACTGGGATGACTTCCAAACGTTGTTCATCATTCTACATGCGTTTCTGGCCTTGCTGAGACGATTCTTGTTGTCCTTTGCCCGCTCCGCCATCATGTCTGACAATGCTGGCAAGGTAGGTGAACTCCTCGGTTGTTGGAATGTCTTCTCCGTTCACTTTGACTGGTGCAGGATGTTGTACATTCAGCGTCATGACGTCTGTCTTCCTCTAGCTGATTTTCAGGCTTACTTGCTGGGCAAAAGTGCTAAGACGGGACGTCTTCTCTTGCATGTGCTGGTGGGTGTGTGAGACCAGTGCGAGATCGTCAGCGAAGTCCCGATCTTCAAGCGTTGACAGGAGGGTCCATCTGATGCCACGTGGTTGGTTTTCTGTTGTTCGCCGCATCACCCAGTCGATAACGATGTTGAAAAACAGCGCGGACATTGAACAGCCTTGCCTGACACCAGTCTTGACTTCAAAACTGGACTTGCTGTTCCCCATGTGAAGTTGTCGTAGAAGCTGGATGAATTGGACAATCTGCTGTGGGATCCCGTATGCCATGAGGATGCGCCAAAGACTATATCGGTGGACGCTATCAAAGGCTTTTTCGAAATCTACAAAGTCGATGTGCAGCTGTCTCTGTCATTCTGTGCACTGCTCAATAATGTTTTTCAAGGTGAATACCTGGTCTATAAATCCTCTTCGTTTTCGAAAACCCGCTTGCTCGTTTCTCAATCGCTGATCTACTTCCTCTGAAATTCGCTGTCCAGTCTTCTGGTAGCTGTTTTTACTCTCATATAGCTGCAAAGAGTGGCTGAAGAACTTGTGCTGCAAACTCCGGATCTGCCTTAAATAGCTATGCGCTAAGGCTGTCCTGACCCGGGGCTTTTCCGTTCTTGAGGGATCTGATGGCTGCCATAATCTCTTCTTTCTCTGGTGGTGCAGTGTTCAGTTCTAGATCTTCTCCAGGATCTTGCACGTCTGCTTCCGTTGGAGGTGGTGGTCTGTTTAGAACTTAACTGAAGTGTTCTGCCCATCGTCTTGTTCTGCTTCTGTGGTAAGAAGTCACCCTTGCTTGTCCACAATTGGCGAGTCTGTTGTTCCTCGGTAATTGCGCTGACTAACTTTGTGATCTTGTACACCTTTCCTTGCTGTCCTCTGCTGGCTGCCTCTTCTGCCTAACTTGCTAGGCTTTCCATGTACGCCCGCTTGTCTGCTCTTATTATCCTCTTCACTGTTCGGTCAGCTTCCCTGTATTGTAGCGTGCGTATCTCTTTCAGCCTCTCCGACTTGGTCTCTTCAGGATATGGTGCTGGTCGTCGTCTCTACCGCTGTTCAGCACTGTTTCTCTGGTGTTGGTTCTGCATCTGCCTGATCCTGTGCATCTGCTCTCGCTGATTCCTATAATGTGTAGATTATAGTGTCTCTTCTCTTCTGTCACTTGTTCCAGCTTTCCTGTCTCATACATGGTTCTCACGTTCCAGAATCCAATTCTGGTCTTGGTTTTGGCACTCAAGACTTCAATCTTCCTGTCAGTGGCCTCCTTCTGGCTTCCCCCATTGTCGTACATACGAGTATCTTCCGATGATTCTAGAAGCCCATCACACCCAGTAGCGTCGATTTCTTCTGTTGCCGTTTCCGTAACAGGAGTGTTTTTACGGAACAGGATTGTTAGTCCTGTGTCCAGCCCCAACCTGGAGGACCAGTGGATCGCGCTTCGTCAGGCCTCTACCGTTCGACCTGTCTCCCGCCAGCATAGCTCTAGGGATCACTGAGACACCGACCGCGACAAGGTGGCGATCCTTCAGTTGCACCACTCCCTAAATACTCTACCAAGTCCCTTGACACTAAATACCGACAAGATAATGTTTTTTCCACTAATTTCTTCAAAACCGCGGAAAAATTGAATTTAATGAAGCTAACGTGGAGGGATTGGCTCTAGTGATACAGTTCTGGCGATATATCACCATTTTATCTCAGTTATTAAAATCAGTTTTGTATCACTTTTGCACTGACGCACAACCACTAGCCCCCTTTAGTAATCCTGACCGTCGAGATCAGGCGAATGGGATTCGTCGTCATTTCCGGGGTAACAATTATTATCTGATAGGGGTTACCTGTCAAGTACTTAACAACTTACATGTCCAACGAACGATAATTATAACTGTATTAACAAAGTTCTATGGCATTTGTCTGTGTGATATTTTAGAGAAATGTTCCAAGCCACATTCAGCAAGGTGCCGGCCATAACAAAGGATTCTGATAAAAGGTTAGTGTTTAGAGAAAACTCTTTGGAAAAAATATGTACACTTTTATTTGCACTAAGCCTGCTACACGACTTCACTAGAAGCAAACACGTTTTTTGTTACACCATTCAGCTCCTTACTTGCTTAGTTATAGAACCCAGGCGCCTTTTTGTTACCATGGTTTCAATTAAAGTATTACCGTGACTTTAGTGCACTAAGTAACACGATTTTTTCATAACTGATTCCGGATTAAACAAAGGCTCAGTAAAATCGTTCGAACGGGACTAAAGGGATTATTTATGTTAGAGGGGCCGTTGCTACACGTTTGTCAGTATGTTTTACCAAAACAGCTCCTTTTCAGAGATAGATTTCAAGTGAATTATTGGGGAAGGAAAGAGGTTTTTCTGCGATTTATTAACAGCTTGACTTTAGCAGTTCACCTACGTAAGGATCGTTATGTACTTCTTCCTTAAATGATTATGCTCTACGAGGTGTGGTTTCTTTTTCCTTAGAGACAGTAGAGCGACCAAAACTGTCTCTCGCGAGGACAGCAGGAGACTCGCAAGCGAGAAAGATGTAAGATGGAACTGACTACCAAAAGGACCAGGCGTTTTACTTTTTTGCGTTCTCCTCCCAATGCTTAATTCTTATTAATTAATTAAGATTTCTGTTGTCAACACATAAATCGCTCTTGCTTCTCTCAAGGTGGCAAAGTGGGGGTACCTTGCACGCATCACGCCAATTTTTTTAAGCTATCACGGATCACGGAAAAAATAACATAATGTAGTTAATTTTTTTTTTATTTTTCCGTGATGCGTGATAGCTTAAAAAAAATCGGCGTGATGCGTGATAAACAAGTATATATTATCATTTGATCTGAGGAAATCAGAGGTCGAGAAAGGAGAAAAAAGGGCAAAAAGCCGGTGTCATAACTATCTATTTTTAGTGTCTGCTTCTTGTTTCAAATGATATTCACCAGCACAGAAATTTCAGAGGAAAAAAGCTTGTCACGCGTTGTGAAAATAGAACTCACGCATAACGCTGCCAGCCCAAATCACGCCTTACACGACTCATTTGGGCCCGATCACGCATCACGCTGATAATTTGGGTCCCACCACGCGTCACGGAAAACCCCTTTGCCAACCTGTTCACTGAAAAACACGAGTGGTCATAGTTTACTGTTATTTCTTGTGAGGCAATCAAATACAAGTATTCATGTTCTCTTATTTTCGAGATAATGTATGACATTGTTACTATGACTGGATTGCAGGTTGATAGAAGCTTTGATGACAACTTTCAAGCGACGTATGCGTTTTCAGTTACAGTGCTTCCAAGTGGACATGGAGGAACTATAACCCACATAAAATCTACACTGAATTATGGCGAAACAACAAAATATGCAGATATTTCTGTCCTTATTAAAAGCAAATGAATTAGAAATTCAAAAATAAAATGCTTACTTGCCAAAAACGACGTCATAGGGTAGTGACAAAACCGCTTATCAACTCGTACCTAACGTAACCTTTTCCAAATATACAACTTTTATTTCTTACTGCTTTATTATCCGTAGTCATGGTTGATTGGATCTCGGTGCAAAGAAAAATAGAAACAAAGAAAACGAAAACAGGAGTAATCACTCCCTACTAAACTACCAACAGAGCACCATCATGATTTAAAGACGTAAAAGATTGAAACATTATGCCTTGAAATTGAAATCGGTAGCTGCTTTGTATTAGTCAGACTGAGTGGCCGTTTGAGGTGGTGAATTGTTTTCTAGCATGTTTAATATTTGCTTCTTGTTCTGTCCAGGCTTATCTACCTTAAGGTGAATAAAGACAAGTATATCGGGTTCTCTTTTGTGGAACATGGCGGACAGCTCGTTCGTTTATTAACCTCTTTAATTCCGGGTTGTTATTTGTAAGTCAAATGTGAGTTTCAATAAACTACAGTTTTGTTTTAGCTTTTACTTGTTGTTGTACTGTCAACTGCTTCCAAGTAGAATTTATCGACCGCTTATACATGGTCACGACAACCAGAGATTTCTGAAATTCCCTGACTTTTCCCTGAACTCGAGTAATTTGTTTGACCTGCAGCAACCATGTTGTAAAGGGCCTCATAAATAGCCAATTTTTCATGAAAATGACCCAATTTAAAACAATTCGAGTGGTTTCCAATCCCCATTAGCTTTTTACAGACGTTTTCAAAGGAAACGAAACCACTATGATGTGAAATTGCATTTCCAAAGCGTTTCGCTCTCGTCCGATTGCCATGAAAGTTACTGTATTTACAACTCCCAAAATTCATCCCAAAGTATTTACCTGCCGGCGACGAGAAGTAAGAGCGCAGTCCGCATTCCGTCACTATGACAAATGTAATGTCAATGTAACACTACACATAACAAATCTTCATGTCTATCTAATACAGCTGAAGTGGACATTTTTTGATGGAGTTCGTAGTTGTGACCTAGTTAATGCTCAAACTTGGGGAGGTGTCACTCCTAAGAAAAATGAAGTCGATCAGTCATCACTGGTCACATGGTTTGTTCCTTGTGACATCATACATCATTTTTCTTGGCTGATTTCCTTCCACGGATATTGAAATGCATCAGTTGTTTTCCTATCCTTTCTCCTCCACAACTTCTTTTTCTCCCTGGTTCGTACGTTTTCACACCAGGCACTCAGAGCAAATTTATCTTTCCACTGAATGATGAACTGAAATAAGAACGAATGATAAACTTTGGATAAAATACTATGCATTAATAGTGGCAAGATCATCACAGTGACGTTAATCCGAGTAAAATGTTTGTTCAACGAGCCGACAATTCGCAACACACGAACACGATCTCCCTGTTGGTCTTACGTCGTAAAGACGTAATAGACCTCTTTAGCTTGTATGTTTTCTTTTCTCTATCAGGAAGGTCTCAGGGGAATTTGCGGCTTTGTCTTTTCATAAATTATGCATACATATGCACGGGAATTAGACCTTAAACCAATGTGCCCTACAATCACTTCTGGGTAAATACTGGCGATAATATATATATTAAGTACTGTTTAAAATACGAGCAGGAGTGAATGATCAGGTTTAAATACTTCATATGTAAGAGTTTTTATGCATGATAATACACGACTGCAAGTTTGTGGAACGGTTTCAAAACCTCTGTCATAGATCACCTTATGCATGCACTAATATTAAGATTTGGAGTTAATTTGGTCTAAAAAATTGGATGTAAAGTTTAGCCATGTCTTTATCAGATATAAAGATACTCATTAAACATTAAAATTTCTTTTGTTTTTTCTTTATGAATTATTAATAAGTTTTTGAAGTTGACGTCACACATTGGGAAAATCCCAGATAACAACCAATGAACCAACTGTGCATGTTAAGACCAACTAATAAGAAAAAACAACTATATTAATAATATGCTGCTTTGCTATCACTCGCCGGCCAATAGGCTTGATCATGATGTACATCCCCGTTTTTGAAAAGCAGACGTAGTGCTCTGGATACAAATCCCCATCAAGTTTGCCTGCATCATCATTCCTCCACAAAAACTAATTCTACCACTCCAATCAAAATGGCCAGACATAAGCATCTGGTAAAAGATTCTTCATACTAACTTATACCCCCTTGGACAGGAATGTCTCCCGAGCCAGATAAGTATATTCCAAATAGCAGGCAAGGCAGAACTGGGTGTTTTAGTGAACACTCTTGAAAAAAAAACCTATTCATTTTCAAAAGATCCAGCACAGCCGACCAATTGAACATTTTGGTAAGTGCCCTTGGTTGCATTGAACAATATTGTGTCAAATAGACTGCTTTAGCACTGAAATAACTGTTACCTGAGGATCCCAGAGCTCGCTTGCGACGCCCAGATCTTTACAACATCTCATTAATGCGTTCGACTTGGCAGCCTCCATAGCTTTTCCATATACCATATTATTGGACGAATAAAACGTATGTTCGCCGACTGTTTGCGCCACAAATCTTCCCAAACAAAACAAGGCATACTCCCTTACAATCAACTGGCTGTTATCTCGGTCACTCTGCAATTCACAAAACGACTGTATTACACTCTTCCTTTAAGAATGTACATTTTCCATGCCCAGGTTGGATATTTCTATTTTTCTGCAAACTTCAGGATGTTTTAATTCCTGTATACATTCTCAGGTTACAGAGTATTGTCCTTAAGTTACATACAACAGATGCAACTCAGGAATTTCAATCCCTGTCTTTTATGTTCCATCAACACGGGAAAAAAAGTGCCTGAACTCAGTTTGAAAGGTTGTGGATTGTACCATTCATTGAGTTAGGACTTGTGGCAGGTATAACACACCAACGACATTACAAGTCTTCATAGCTAATAACATTATGGCTTAACTGACAGACAACCAATAACATCGCAACTTAATTGACCAATCAGGTCAATAACCAGAGTTAAATACCAGCAACAGATGTGATACAACTCACTTTGACTCTGAAGATGACTATTGCACAGATTTTCAAAAAAGTCAGTCACTGTCAACAACCATCCTATTGAGGACTACATTCACCTTACCCTGCGAGCAGAGGCTACATAATTTTCGTGGTATGACCTGGCAAGGCTACTTTTCGCACGCCACCTCATACCACAAAATGTAGCTTCTGCTCGCAGGGTACATTCACCCAGATGATCATGCTCAACCTACTTATGAAATGACTCCTGGGTTCAAACTTTTCACAGTTTTACAGTTTTATAAAGCTTGAATTTGGCATGAACAAAAATTTTGTTCAATATATTTATAAGACACTACACTTATTAAGTCAAACATGAGATTTCAGTTATTGTCATGGCAACATGGATGATTGAAAACAAGCCAAAAATTTTAAATTTTGTTAGGTTTATGCAAAATCTAGGTATTCCTTTTTGGTGTAGAAGATACAACATTCAAAGATACAGACCTGAAACTGAAGAGATTCTCCTCTTGGAAGTAGAGCCCAGCCTCCTGGTCCAAATGCTTGATTAAGGATTCTCCTGTATTTTATTTCAGGTAAGTATATTAATCCTATGCAGGGAATAAAAGGTCATGTCAATCAAACCTAGTGGAATCCAAAAATATCGAGAAAAACAGTTTATAATAAAAGTTGCTGCATACCATCGGGTTTGATCTCAATATCATT